TTTGGAGGTGGGTGTAGCCCGTTGTTTACCCAACCTTCAAATGACCATGTGCTCTAAGGTTTAGATCATACTGGACGGAGACACCACTTGATGAACTTGACAACCGTGACAATAAGATGCCTTTTCAGACCAATGGCAATGCCAAAAGATGTCTACACTAGTTGAAATTCCTTTAAAACTTTTGAGGAGGAAGACTCAGGAAGAACGAACCCCACTGACGACATGCCAGTAAACGAAACCGACAGGAGAGCATTTTGTTCAAATAACATTTCAAAATGTTTGAAAGCACAAGGTCAAGGTATCCTATTGTCTTGGAACTCCCTCGAAACCAGCCTGAGAAAATATTACCACTGAAAGTACTTTATGGGCCCAGTATTATGAGTCCAACAAAGTCTTCCGAGTTTTATTTTCCCCCATACCACGCACGGTTCTCACTTCTCACACAGACAGTATATCAGTATTCTCATCATGTCAAAGTATATTATGAACGCTTGATAAGTTGATATCATTAATTAAATTCCTATGAATGGAAACGCCTTCTGGAAAACATTTCATATAACTTGAAACTGTAACAAAAGCGTATTTGAAAATGTACAATGTACATGCATACTAATGAAATTATTTTGCCACAGAAATGTACTCATACAATTCTCCCGAGTATTTCTCATTCTGTAGAACCTCTTGGTCACTCACAGCAAGGGGATTTTAGATTATTCAATTAAGCGCTCCTGCACTTCACAACACAAGATAAACAGCAACAGTACATAATATATTACACTAAAAAATGAGATTACTGATGAAAAATCGTATGGATAATACGTGCAAATCACAAAACCATCCGTTGTTTTCTAATCTAACATGGTGTAACATTGAGTGGTTTGAAATATGTACTGGTACATTGAAAGTGTAAGTTGTGGTTGGTATTGAAACTCCAAGGTGTCTCACAGAATACAATACAGTGAACGGTATAGGTTTCGTTTAAGTATAACCTCCATTTATCAATTGTTTATTTGTTATCAAGGTTTTTTAGTGATTTCTCCTGGAAAATTTACATTACGATCAAACCTTGCACCACATTAAAACAAATATATTTTCGAAATGGAGGACAAAAAAGGAGATTAGGAGAAACAATAATATATCAAAACATCGTTTTAAAACGGATAAAGGGACACATCATGTACTGAGATATTGAGAGTAGGTTTGGGGGGGGGGGGGGGGGTAGTGAGAGGGGCAGCAGAGAAGGGAGAAGGGTAATTTGAAACCTTGATTTTATTATCGTCTGGCCAGTGGCCATAAACCGAGGTGAGAAGTTCATTGTACTTTCAGAGTACATGATGACAAGACCAGCAGGGGAAGGGTGTGTCAACAAAACATCAGGACTTCATGCTTTCACATTATCATTGTTCTATTGTCCGTCGGGTCTTCACATTTAAATCGCCTATATATTGTCCCCCATTTCGTGCTTCTTCGTCACATCTTTGATCTTTCTCATAACCGTCTCCGACCATGTCTCCTTCATGGACCCCCCCCCCCCCCCTCCCCCTCCACAACTACACATCCGCACAGCACCAACTCAACACACGTTCAAAGTCGCCCTCAACTTCTCAAGACATACTTGTTTACGTGATAATCAAGATAATTTCCTTTTCCCTTTCTAACAGTAATTCGATACAGGTTTGACATGAGCAGAAGTAGGAGTAAAAGTAAATGAATTGCTAATGGAGTATGTATTTATTCATTGGAATAATTTTGAACTCGTCTCTTGTACTTTGAGTTCTAATTGCATTTGTAGTATGTCAAGTTGTAGTCAAGATTGTAATTAAGTTTATAAAGCGCATCGGGAAAGCGCTTTAGAAACATTTGTTTATTATGATTTCATCTAATGAAAAGTCCCTCTCATTCTTTCTCCACCCCCACCCCCCCCCTTCTCCCTCCCTCTCTACAAACGGGAAGGACCCTATACTAGCGTACTAATAGTACTCACTACTCAGGGTTTTCTTCATTTCACTTTGGCAGCTCTTCAAAAAATGACAATCAAAAGTTACGCCGCATGACATCTCTTTCAACAACCTTCCCGCCCATTCATCGCTAACAAAAGGCCAAAAGACCCCACAAAGCTGGATATAGTTTCGCATACTTTGGGCGATCAATTAATGAACAGAGAATTTGTGCAGGAGACGTTCAAGCGGAAATTATCTGCGTCGCTGACATCTGAATGGCTGCTTCTATAAAAAGGAATTCACACGCCAGTCGACAAGGGCGGGAAATAGTTTTGCAATCACGTGGCATAAAAATAGTATACCATACTATACAAAACATTACTATGTACAGGACTATGGACGGTCGGGTACCATAATATAATGGAGCTGGTAACTCTTTGGGCTTGGTAGAACATGGACCACAATAATTTGGGTCGTGTTAAATCCATGATATAAGCATGGACCACAACTGAGGTCTGTGATATAGTATGCAAGGTAGTTACACTTGAATTGAAAACGATATTTGATTAATGACATATATATTTTATGGTAAAACAGATTTAAAAGACAGGTCTATTCTGTCATTTCTGTGCACGTACATGAAGTTTACATCTCGGCCTATTTAGTATTTATACTACTAACAGAAAAAAAACGATGTTAACTGGAAATCAATATCACTAGGAAATGTCGTGTATGTATATCAAGTATTCACTGTATCCCTAATCAAAATCATATTCAAAACATGGCAGCAGGTCTGATTTTTACCAAACTCCCTTTTCTCTCAACGTCTCACTCTCTCTCTCTCTCTCTCTCTCTCTCTCTTTCTCTCTCTCTTTCCTAATTGTCTGGCTCTGCCTGTGTGCATGAAACAGAAAACGCCTGGGTAAAGTTGACAGTTTACACGAGTGAACATTATTCATGTACTGGAGTAGAGGGCTATAAATAGATAGTATGATGCAACATTCAGCGAGCGAATTTCATACAGCCTCAAGGATGTTGACTCAACCCCCAACCACCCCCCCCCCCCCGGCCCCCAATGAAATGTTGCTGCACCTGCTACCTGAGCAAGTTTTCATTCTCAGTCCAGAGTTGAATACAACAGAAATGACCATCCAATACGAATAATTAAACGAAATCACATTCATCAATTCATTAATGGAGATACTTCGAAGCTGATGTACATTGAGGGGTTGAATGACTTTTCACATGAAAACAAGAAAACTATCATATCAACCCTCTCCCTTTCTCTTTGTCCCTGTCTGCTTGTCTCCCCCTCCCCAACCTTAGTTAGTACATGTACCTTACTCCCCCCCCCCCCCCAACCAAAAAGCCCTGTAATGGACTCGATGGAGCTGCTCAAATTTGACATGACCATTTGGAAAAATGGGTTATTCTTCACCCAAACTAATTACAATGTCAAATTAGAGCCCGTGTTTACAGACCAGAGGCTGACAACCTCCCTCTTTCCCCTGATTATTGATTTCCATCTTCCTCCGTTGAAGCCCTCCTCATCGTAATGATTTGTAGTCTTTCAGGCTGAACCAAATTTCATCAATATTCTCAACAATGGAGTTTTGATCTGAGGCTGCAGAGTGTCAAGACTTAGGACCTACAGTGTACATGCAGGGCCTACATGTACATTGTTTATGTACATGAATAACATGATACATCATACATGTACGATGTACATGTCTGTGCACGTATAGACATACCTACTCCTTTTAATCTTATCCCACTTCAGGGTTGTACATGTACATTCCTCTTTGTTAATCCTAATCCTTATCCTATTGAGGTAAATTGTACATGTATTATATCTAGTATCGGTATAATCTTTACATTACAATAGCAAAGACACAACTGGATGACCAATGTGTAGCCATCTGGACAGGATAGCTACATACTGTACATGTACATGTGTAAGATGCAATTTGACATTTCCTAGAGCGTGTCATGGATGAATTTCTTTGGCACAGCATGATGACTAGTGAGGCCATGGGAGAAAGTGTCTGTAGCGTGACAAACCACTATCTCCTCACTCTGGTGTACAGCAGTTGACCATGAACATGATGATGGACATTGGCATACATCCTGTTCATCCTAGTGTGTATGGCCAACTTTTTAAGCCTAGAGTTCCTGGTGAAATTAAGGTTGCATCATTTTGATGACGGGACATGGGAGGTCTGTCTACTTTTAACCATTAACCACTGAAATCAGAGACAGGCTTGCTTTTCAAAACAGTGTCCTGTCTACTACTAGTATTATAACTCATAAAATATCATTGACAAAAAAATAACTGAAGTACTCTTTCACTTCAGCATAGTCACTCAAAAATCCTAGACCATTTGAACTATATACGTACATGTATATGTAGGTAAGATGGAAAGATTATTGCCATTAAAAATGTTTTCAAAGCAGTTTAGTTCTGTCAGGAAACAAAATATTTAAAAAATTCAACTGAGATCTATCTACATCTACTTTGGACTTCCATGTAGTTTAATAGATTAGATATACTCATCTATTTCATAGCACCTTTCAAACCAGGGGATCGCAAATGTTCTGACTCTTGAGTCTTGAACTAAATGATGTACCGGTACCTTTTTAATCACTCTAATCTAATACAATTTCACTGTTTTAATCAGGGCAATGTTCTGCAAAAGTACGTCTGGCTTCACCCAATTCCTCCAAGCAAAGAGATTTGCTGTCTACTCCTCTTTATGATTTTGAATATTTATCGCTACTTTGATTTAATACGGAGCTTGATTAACATTTGGAAATATTTACAATTGAATGCATTAAAAAAAAAATAGAATGGCATTACATGTAGATCTATATTAACTCTTTATTGAATTCAATTGTTAGTTTGTAACTGAAGACGAAGTGAAGCTCCGTACTCAAATGGTCATGACAGTATTAATTTTGGGTGTATTACTATTGGGGTGTTATGTTAGATTTATGTGCCAAATTACTGTATCCTGTGTGTCTGTGCATGGACCGTTTCTAACTAAGCATTGATTGACTTACTTATACAGCCGGCTGCCAGAATTTTAACTGGTATTTGAGGTGGAGGGCATTCCTGGGAGTAGAACGGCTGCAGAATATACTGCCCAAATGTCATGGCAACCACAGCCTGAGCTGTGGGCCTGATGATGACGAGGGTGACCCAGAGCAGCAGGAAGGCGGGCAGGGGGCCAAATGCGACCAGGATGTAGGCGTAGTCACCGCCGGACATGGTTATCATGGTGCCCAGCTCGCCGTAGCACAGGGCACCGATCATCGAGAACACGCCGCATGCCGTCCAAACGATAAGGGACATGCCGGGAGATCCGCTCAACTTCAGCACAATCTGAGGGGAGATGAAGATGCCGGAACCGATGATGATTCCGACGATGATGGTGACTCCATTTAGGAGTGAGATTTTAGGCTTCAAAGTGACACGGTCATCGTCGTTGGACGGTTTGCCATTGGCAACAGGAGCCGCTGCGGGGTTCGCTACGGCCTGCATGTCTCCTTTCTCGTCAGCCATCTTTGAGTTGACTTTATCCTCCCTTTTAAAAAAAGCAAAGAGAAGAAGCCTACAACCTACACGATATGCTGGTTGAAGAATTGACGTTGAATCGAAGTGATATAAAACTGAGTGCTGATTGTGAGCAAAATCAAGACAGTCCAACGATCAAATAGAGTAAGGCCGACCCTTTATCGCGAGGTTAAGGTTCCACGAAATACTCCAATTTATTCATTCAAAATGTAAACAAATTTCGCCGGTACCGCGTATACCGGTACATGTGCTTCCAGTACACAAACTTGACAAAGAGCCACGTGAAATGTTTATCCTTCTGAGCATACGGTCACCATTAAATTACTTTCAGTGTTATCTTCTTACAAGGCTAATGCTGCTTGATGATCAATACGATCCTCAAAGATAAATATGTTACAGATTACTCCAAATTTCCCGAATAATTAAGGGGGTTAAATGCCCCTAAATTTCAGAACAAATCTCGACAGCATAATCTTCCTATCGTGGTCTCTCCATGCGGTGTATGCAGCGAATCGCGATATATATTTCTCGTGTGTGTACGTACGTATATGAATGATATGCGCATGCATGCGTCACGTTGCATTTTCTGTATACATCGTACTCCACTACGATTACGATGAAAACATTGTAGTCACGTGACCATGCAGAACTCACCATTAATATAAAGGGGAGTTTCTTGTAACGAGAAAAAAAGAAATTAGAGGTACGTCGTAGAAATAAGATATGATTTCATGATAAATACTTTATTTGTAATATAAAAAGTATAATACAAATTAAAACCTCGTATTATATTGTTAATTGCAACTTCCAAGGACATTATTGGCCTATTATTTTACTCTTATACCCTATTAACAGAATGGTATGTGACTTTTCTTGCATCATGCTAGTTAATTCCGGTTTATGCCAAAGTTCATTCACCCAAAACAATTCATTCATAATTTTACTTCCAGCTTTCTAATTGGCTGGCGTATAATTTTAAGGCCTGCCCACGGTCTTTCACGGCGGTAAGCCAAATAAGTATGCATTTCCTCATGTTTTCAGTAGTGTATAAAATGTTTCCTCCTTGTTTGTTTACATTTTAACAGACAATAAACATTCTGACAGTGCCTTGAGCTGGATATCGGGAAATCCTAGATGATTGTTTTGAATAAATAGTATAAAATACATGTAGAGTTATCAAAAATGACAACATAACAACAGCAATGTTATTCTTGTCGCAGGCTCGATCTTGTTAATGAAGAAACAATAATGAAGGCCGCTTTCGCGGTTAAATGATATTCTTAGGATATGTTATGGTACATTATTTTAATAATATCAATAGCACAATTGTTATTGTTAAGATTTACACCCCCCCCCTCCCCGCCCTAAAAAAAAAATCAATATAATGGGGGTGACGGTACTTCATGATCAACTGCTGATATCCTTTCACATGAATCATGATTATTACCGATATAGGATCAATAAAAGTTCTATATGAAATTTAAGTTTATACTTGAATAAAATATTGGGTTCTAGAATATCTGTCTGACTTGACACTCCTGGCGCTCCCGATATAACACAGTTATGGCATGATAACAGGTAAATGCACATTTGCCTAGAGTGTTTTGATAATATGACACCAACATTACCCCTACAAATAAAAAAAGTAGGCCCTACAGTCAGTTTACATGTTATAGTTGGTACCAGTTGGTACAAGTCTAAGTATAAGGCGTGTAACCCCTTGATGAGCACTTTATGATACAAGAAATTTAGTCATTTATGAAAGTGAAATGTAATGAATTTTTGTTTTGTTTGTATATTTTACTTAGCATTTTTTTCTTTTACTTTATTTTGTTTTGGTTTGTGTGTAGTGCAGGGTGTAGTGTGGTAGTTCTATGCGCCAAAATGATGTCGCCCTCTAGCGACAATAAACTATACATTCGACAAGTTCTCGGTCTTCCTGTCGACAGATTGTAAGAACATTGTGCCCTCAATTATCTCCCGCCCTCTCTCTCTCTCTCTCTCTCTCTCTCTCTCTCTCTCTCTCGCTCTCTTAATATATTATATATCTCTCTCTCTCTCTTTCTCTCTCTCTTCCCCTTTCTTTCTCTCTATCTTTCCCTCTCTCTCTCTCTCTCTCTCTCTCTCATTTTCTCATTCACCCCTCTCTTTCTCTCAGTTGCACAAAGAATAAGTGTCTTTTGCTTTCCCTGTCCGTCTCTCTATCTCTCTCTCTCTTAATGTATTCTCTCTCTCTCTCTCTCTTCCCCTTTCTTTCTCTCTTTCTTTCCCCCTTCCCCTCTCTCTCTCTCTCTTTCTCTCTCATTTTCTCATTCACCCCTCTCTTTCTCTCGCACACACAAAATAGTGTAATATTTACCCACCCTCCTCTCCGTCTGTCTCTCTCGCTGTCCAATCACGATTATACTTTTCCCTATCCCTGCTTCTTATTCTCTATTACCCCCAACCCCCTGCTCCCTCTATCTTGAAACTTATTGTGAACGATAATGATTTAAATGAACAGCCTATATTCATGTTTTTAAATATTTTTATTTTCTTTAATCTACCGTGCTTTACAAACGATGAAACGAGCGAGGTGCAAAAGATAATAAAAAGGAATAAATTAAAGAAACGGAAAAATTAAAAAGGTCAAAAAAAATAAAACTGAATAAATTCAACAATAATTTTTATAAGCAAATATTGAATCTTCCTCATTATCATTTGGAAAACTAAGAGTCGCTCAGTGCGGAAATGAATATATACAAGAAAATACATTAAAAACACAATCGCAACTACTTTTTAAAAATTTACCCGAGGCAATTTGAATAGCCTGGTGCCTCACCTGTTGAAATGTGTGAACATGAAAATGACGTAATGCATAATCGAGTCATGATTTCTATGAGACATAGCTACAACAGGGTGTTTTAATTGTCCTTGAGAATATCATTTTAAAATAGTTGCGATCGTGATTATAAAAAATAATAAAAACATTAAATGATCTAATTATAGTGTACGAAACTAATATCAAACTTATATATAGACACTTTAATTTTAATTTACAAACAATAAATTCACAGAAAACATCATGAAAAGATAAAAACAGTCGTTTCAAATTCTTTTTGTGACATGAAGTCAATTATTGTAAAATCTGTCTGCCAACTGTACAGTTAGAGTGAAGACAAAAAATGATTTGAATCTTATTATTGTAAGTTACAATAATATAATCACTCCAATCCTATAAAATTCAATTCAATACAAAATTAAACAAAATTATCATGTCATGAATGCAAGTGATCAATATCGTTTTTATTTTAAATGTACTGAAATCTGAATTGCCTCGATATAGCATAATTATGGGCCTATATTGTGGGCTCGCCCTCTCAATTTCATTAGAATTACAGAATAATTGGCTTCTTCTCTCTTTTTTCTTTAGTATTTTCTTTTTACTTTTCTTTTGTTTTTCTCTGTTTCGTTTCCTACGGTATCCGCCCCCGAGTCAAATAAACAAAATAATGTCAATATTTTACACGGAAATAAAATTAGAAACTTGTTTCAATGTTTCAATTGTTATTAACAACTTTCCAGTAGCTTTGTTCATTGAAACTACGATCTAATTTTGATTTAATATGATACATAGTCGAAAAAAGGAGATATTACAGTCCATACAAAAGATACAGGTATTCGTATATAAACTATTTTCTTTTAGATGCAGTGCTGTATAGTTTCTAATATTGTCAAAATTGCAAGCTTTTGTGATGAAAATCGGTAGAACTGCTTCACACCGGTGTGTGTTGCTTGCAGTAAAAGTTGCCTTTGACCTCGAAATAACCTGCCAGAAATGAAAGAAGAAAATAATAATAAATATCACAAGTGTGTTAAAAAGATTAAAAATCGATTCTTCATAAGTTTGTATTATTGAGTCAGTATACTGAAAACCATGCACTATTGTGCAAAGTAACCAAAATATAACGGGATTTTCTTGAATTGTACGGTGGCTAAGTAAAAGGCATCAACCTGTTTTGAGTTCGGAAAATTATCGTTTTAAGTCTTTCAGATAAAATGGGACTTAACAGGAAAATCGTTTGGTGGAAAGGTGTTTTGTAACCCTGTAAATATTTCCCCAGTTAAATACACTTTAGTAAATTTTGCAACGCAGATATAACTTAACTTGCAAAAGCCTCCCCCCCAGTTTTATTTCTTCTTAAAAAAAACTTATTTGATCGGTATGCCTAAACGTCTCTTCTAAAACGGCATCGGTCAAGTACAGTTAATATTCCTTAAAAACCTTATTAATTAGTCAGCAAAATGCACTGCTATCAAAACATTCAACAAAATGCATTACATGTACTATATGGAGCAAGCACGAGCATAATTGCTTGAAAATTGTCGTTGGAAATATGATGTGGGCTTACTTTATGAACGATGTTTTTAAAAATAAAATTTACCAATGCTATATATTTATATATATGTTTTATTTATATGAATAAGAGAAACAAATATGAATAATATATATATAAATATTAATAACATAATCTTATTTCCATAAAACATCAAAAATGTGTTGTGATTATAGTTACGTATCAATCAATTCGAGCAGAAATTATAAAAACGTCTTACCTTAAAGCATTTTAAAACAAAAATGTAAACAACATAACGAATACAAAGTTTCCCCGGGCGTTATATAGGTCTAACATTGCCTTGCAATATTCCTAGTTTGATCATCGAATTGTTAAGACTATGACTTAATCATATTGTCGTCAAATACTAAATGATTTAAGTCCTGATGATTAGCATGGTTCACAATTGATTTTTGACATTGCATGTTCACCTTTTAACCCTTCCAAAAAGTTCTCATTAGAAAAATATGTTTTCAAAGATAATTTTAGCATTATTGCAAGCATGCAAATAAACACATTCAATTTTAAAGGAAAAATACATTATGAATCGCGATTAAAGCAACATCCGACTTTGAAGTATAACTTCATCTTTTATTTTCGTAAAATAATATACCACATTTTATTTTCCCTGACTGCTGTAAACGCTTGCTAAAATTTTCATTGCAAGAAAAATGCAATGATGATCTCGTTTTATTTATCTATCTAAAAATGAAAAAAAAATCTAGAAATCATGTTGTGCCCATGCACATTCACTATTCTTAATTGACAATCACAAGAAGCACTATACTATATGTGAACAGAACATTTATTTCTTTGCCTTTACTGTACATTATACTCCTCTCACACCGGTTTCATGCATCATGCTTATGTGGGCATTTCACATGGGTCGGTCTTTCTTGCAGTATATCTCTCCGCGAACTTCATAATAGCCTGTGTAAGGATAGAAAATGAGTTAAGATGCAATTAATTCTAAAGATTATGATTTTAAAAAAGATCAATACTAAAAACTTCATAAATAGCCTGTATGATGCAAAAACAAAGAGTTAAGATGCAATTCATTATTCTACAATAAAATGATTGAACAAAATCGTGCATTTATTATGAAGGCCTACTCTTGTATGCATTTCATATTTATTAAAGGCATTATTTTAATGTTTTCAGTTTTACAAATCTGAGATGCATGGCCCTACGCGTTATTAGTGTCTGTAACATGGTGTAATATTAAAGCCCTACAAAAGTGCGCTTCAAAATGATCATGAAGTGCTTCAAAAAAGTAAAAATCTGTGAGTGACCGGTTTCACCATACTCACCCCCCCCCCCCCCAATTTTTTTTTATAAAAACCATTGTGAAAACGGTTTTTGACATTTCTAATTCCAGTCATAAATATCTTGATAATCAGACAGACGATCGGCTTGTAAAAGTCATAGGATTCCTGACTGACCTAAAGGTTTATAATTATGATTGCAGCATGACCTAGATCCATCCATGATCATGATTTTTTTAGAATCCGATGCAATCCCAGTCCCTTTAAAAGTGGTGTATCCATACAAGAGGGAGGAGGGGGTATCTCCCTGGAAAAATCTAAGCAGCCCCGCACGCCAAAGGCCCATTGTATAATGTAAAACCGTGAATGTGGGCTTCAAGGGGGGGGGGGGGGGGGAGAGAGAGAGAGGGGGGGGGGGGAGGTACGACGTTGACTCCACTCAATATGCTTGATACGTCAATCACAGTAATAACAATCAAATATTATAACGATATAGGCGATGACATTTCGTATTTATCTCAAATGTCATGCATGTAATATGTTATGTAAAAATAGCGTGAATGGTACCCGGCTTTCCAAATGCTTTGAAATCTCATGCACAATCAAACTCCTTTGATTGCAATCAACTTTTTTTCTTTTACAGCTATAAGGGAATAGGAAGGAAAGAAAATGAAATTAATATCATAAAACGAATATACATGTACTCAAAATAATCAGTCAATTTTTAAAATAATGTTTGATAGACCATTGTCTTCATACTTTCTAATTGAAACTACCATTGCCCTAAATAATGATAAATGATTGTAATCCCCTATTACGACCGTTTTCGAAAATTCAATGAATGTAAAGAAAATTGAATGCAATTATTTGTGCTGCTAGGTTGGTAACTCTGACCTACTTTCAAGGTTGTCTAGAGAATCTTTTCCCTGAACATTTGCATTGAAATAAATGTTGATCATGAAGTACAACAAGGTGAATATACTAAACTTCACACCAGATGTGTTTTTTTTTACTAGCTCAACTCAGTATTGTACCCAAAATGTTTACTTGTTGTGTTTCCTTATCAACTATTTATAATATATATAATATTTAGGTTCAGTTATAGTTTTCACTCGTTGATAATATTGCTCTCTCTCTCTCTCTCTCTCTCTCTCTCTCTCTCTCTCTCTCTCTCTCCCTCTCTCCCGATGTTCCTCCATCTCTCCTGTCCTGTCTGTATGTATGTCTGTATGTCTGTCTGTCTCCCGACGTTTCTCTATCTGTCCTGTCTGTCTGTTTCTGTCTGTCCCTCTCTCTATTTATCTCTGTCTCTATCTTTCTCTCTTTTTCTCTCTCTCTCTTTCGCTCTATCTCTTGCCTCATCTTTCGCATCAGCCATTAAAAAAAAATTAAAAGATTCTTTCTCCCTCATAAAAAAGAACTGTAATGCAAAGAGTTTTCTTAAAAGAAAAAACGATTTCTCACCAATTCCTCTCAAATTTTTACCGCAGACGGCGCAATTGAAGCAATCGTGATGGAATCCATGGTCGCGAATCTTTGTATACTTTCCTCTAAATATGTCAATGAAATAAATCAATTAAATTAATGCATTAATGAAAAATCCATAGGCCTATACGTCACAATATCTATGTACGAGAAATCATTAATTGAATGAGTAACATATTTTAAATTAAAAGAGTTGGCTGGGAAGTATGATATTGATTAATGGCTCTGATTTATATCTGAAGTAGGCCTATGATATTTAGATTTTTTTCTATCAGTAATAATGTAACATGCAAAAGAGCCCAATATCAATATTTAGCTTTACTTTGATATATGTTGATAATGACAATTGTCCATCAACCGAATTGTGAATGGTTTAAACAAAAATTACTTAGGTGGACATTTGCCACTTTTCTGAATTTTTCTTCTTCAGCCACTAGTTTAACGTGGGCCAATGCAATGACGGGATGGGGCACAAGCATGGGGGGGGGGGGTGACTAGTCTCACGTGGTGAATGGAATGCGAGGGAATAAGGCAACCGAGCATGAGGTGATGTTTTCTTTCCTTTTTCTTAACCCCCGCTTTTCTCTTTCCCTCTTCTCCCTCTTTTTTCTTTTCTTTCTGCCATTCGTGCTCACTTAACAACGCCATTGAACGGAGGCATTTTAGGGTAACAATTACCTACTGAAAGAAAGAACCACTCGGCATTAAGAATCTGCACGTTTTCCTTCTTAACCCAATTTAACAAGCAGAATTTCGCCCCTAAACTTAATATCATGACATCTTTTGACATAGAACTTACGTGATTTCTTTCCCACAGCCGACGCAATGGCCCTGTGGAACGTTCTTTAGGGTCTTGACCGGTTGGGCTTCCCTCACATCCTTCTTAAAAACAGTCTCGCTGCCCTTGGCACCGCCACTGAAGATATGGGGAGCTGCATGGATGGCAGAGAAAGATGCGTTGACATTGAAATTATTTATTTTTACGAAATAAATTGTTCAGTAATGCTGATAAATAATTGTTATAATAATGATGATAATACTAAAAATAACAATAATAATGATGACAATAATAATACTCATATTAATAATAATAATGATAATAATAATAATAACAATAATAATAACGATAATAATATTTATCTAAATCGTCATTGTCATCATCATCATCAAAATCATCATTATGATCACTGTCATCACCATCACCATCCACAACATCATCACATCATCATCATCATCAACATCATCACCATCAACATCATCACCATCATCACCATCATCATCATCATCATCACCATCATCATCATCATCATCATCAACTTCATCACCATCATCACCATCTTTACCATCAACATCATCACCATCAACATCATCACCATCACCATCATCACCATCACCATCACCATCATCATCACCATCATCATCATCATGAACATCATCATCATCATCATCATCACCAGCATCACCATCATCACCATCACCATCACCATCACCATCATCTTCATCAACACCATCACCATCATCACCATCATCTTCATCAACATCATCACCATCATCATCAACGTCACACCATCACCATCATCATCATCACCATCATCACCATCAACTTCTCGTACCATCTCCATCTTCGAGTCTGTTGAACGATTCTGAGATGGTGAATGGGTTGGCTACGAGACCCTCGCCGGCTTCTTCGACGTCCTTGTCGGTGATCACGGGTCGTTCCATCTTATCCTCCTCATCTTGAGGGTTCTGAGGAATATGAAGAAAGTTTTTGTGAATATAATTATAAGAGAGAGTGTCATCATTGATATGTAGCTATACCATGGAGGGGTGTATCTTCACCCCCGTTGGTTCTCAGATTTGGTTTGGACGGGGATGTGCCGCTAAAGCCTCGAAACCCCTACCCATTTGTAAGGGTCATTTGGGGGGATTTTTCTCGAAGTAAGGCCAATTTTTCACATTTTTTTGTTGAAAAACGGACCTATGTAAAATGGGACCCATATTTAAGGATTTTTTTTTGAGGTGAAAAAGTGACTCATTAAAGCGATACACCTAACACCCCCGTATGTCTTAATATACGAGAACCCCCCCCCCAGGATCTTCACTCTCATGGTAAAGAAGGTGGAGAGGGAGAGATGAATAGAAAGGGAGAGGTAGACAGAAAGGGAGAAAGAAAGAGATAGATAGAGAGAGAGAGAAAGAGAGAGAGAGAGAGAACGAGTGAGAGAGAGAGAGAGAGAGAGAGAGAGAGAGAGAGAGAAAAGAAAAGAAAGAAAGCGAGAAAGAACAAAGGCATGTTTCGGGGGGGGGGGGGAGCGGGGATGGGGTCGAGGGAGAGGTATATGTCAGCATACTTATGCACACTCTAAAGGCAGAAGCAAAGTTTTAAATTGTTTAAATTAGTTTAATAAGGAAAGTATTCTGTTGAGCTTAACGATATTGTTTTGTTTCCAAAATGTACAAGCATTATCGTCTATAATCAAATCATGCTTGCCTAATTCTCATTTTCAACATCAATAGCTATCACTATATAGTGTATACCTCATTATTATTTGAAATGATCTACCATCAATCTCGCAATCAATAATGCGATTCCCTCATTCATCACATCAAAGAGGCAAGTTCTTGATACATCTTCACATGAAGTCCCGACCTAGATCTAGCAGGGCCTCCCCCGGGTCATCCTACATACTCGGCATACCGACGATATTGGGCCTTAGTGACTAGGCAGGGAAGTCTTGTCGACCACGGACGGAAACCGCGTATGATATAGCTCGAGCTTGGATAAACATGAAGATGAAATATGGCTCAAAATTAAAGGATAACAGCATGACCGTCTTATCTGAGTTCATTTCATTTTTACTGGAAACTTGTTTTAGTCTTATATAATTGGTTATCTTATCACTCTTTTCACAGACTTTCTTGAACGCTAAAGCCATAAATTTTATATCACCTGTAATATATCGTGTGCTTCAGGTCAATCCTAATAGTCACTATCATAATAATTTGTATACATGTATTTTGGCCGTTCATCATGATTTTGTGTCTAATCATATTACAAACGCCTACCATATTAATCCGTTGATCTTCCTGTTTTCATCAGTTTATTTTCGTTGTCCTAAAAAAAAGAGGGAATCTTTCTTATACCCTTGTCTTTACAACTTCCCGTATAAATTAGTGCTACTCATGTTAATGGTAAATTGATAAGATTTCCTGTTATTGGGAAGCTGTCATCTATCAAAATGGTGAGGTTCAGAGAGAGAGAGAGAGAGAGAGAGAGAGATTAGAGAGAGAGAGAGAGAGAGAGAGAGAGAGAGAGAGAGAGAGGGAGAGAGAGGGAGAGAGAGGGGAAGAGAGAGAGAGAGAGAGAGAGAGAGAGAGAGAGAGAGAGAGAGAGAGGGGATTGAGGGGGGGTGGGCTGGAGGAAGGGGGAGGGGAAGGGGAAGGGGAGAGGGTAATGTGACAGAACGATATTGTTTCTGGTTATGCTCAAAAAGAGGATAGGTTTATAAAAGTGATAATTAAATTATAAATAATTTAATGTAATCATTGTGTGCAGAATGAGAGTCACTAATTATATTATTATGTAGCCACTTATGTTGTTAGGAGATGATTGCCCACACTGAATGCTACTTCGGACTTTTCCAGCTGCTCACTGCTGTTTATTTCGGGTGAGATAGATGCGTATATACACTGGCGTATCCAGATATTGATAGATATATAAAGTGTCCCCTTAAAAATGTGGGGGGGGGGGGGCAGCCCCGCATACACAGACGACATTTTGTGATCCCCCCATAGTCTTCAAACGACGAGAGGGGGGGGGGGGGGTGTATGCCGGCTTTATACCTTATACACTATACTACGCCAATAATAGAGTGGGTGGGGTTGAGAGAGAGAGAGAGAGAGAGAGAGAGAGAGATGGGAAAAGAGAGAGAGAGAGAGAGAGAGAGAGTGTGTGTGTGTGAGAGAGAGAGAGAGAGAGAGAGAGAGAGAGAGAGAGAGAGAGGGGGGGGTGACGGGGATAGAGAGGGAGTGAGACAGACAGACAGTCAGACAAACATCAGGGACCTAAATAGAAGTAACAAAAGGGGGAAGAAGGGAAAAGGGGAAGAGGTCGACAGAGACGGATGAAACATGCAGACTAGAAGTACATCTGCTTTTATATTCTTCAAAATAAATACAAGTTAATCATCACTAATAAACCGTAATATTTATGAGTCAACAGAATATGACTACCATGAAGAAAAAACATATTGATCAAACAGGTCTATACCGTTCAATACCAGACATAATGCCGAACAGCTAAGACGACCTTAGATCAGTCAAGTATTATATTTACTTAATTAAATGTCGTGTTGGCTCATTGTTTATTTAGTATGTTAACGGGTTCAATTTGAATATATGCGATATGCGATATTGAATTCGTTTGTTACTCTTTCATAATTTATCAGGGAAATAAGATGCATATATACATGTATTGCATTGTTTGCCTTTATGCCTAGTGTAACGTCAGATTATGCACGGGTCTTGGAACCAGGGAAAGGGTTATCCAACCACAAGTACTATTCAATTTCATGGCGGTTTATACAAACCGCCTTTATTATTATGTTTCAAATAGTAAAACAAGAAATGGACTTCAAGATTCGTGAGCAAAGGTAGACAATTTTCTACATGCTAAAAACAATAACTATTTTGCTTTTGAAAAATGAATGATTAATTAGCCAATTCTAAAAGATGTCAAGAATGTAGAAATATGTCCAATATCACAATTAACGTATTTTACCAACATGGAAAAATAGATCTTTGCACAATTTGTAACAAGATCGAAATTTAAACTGCAGCATCATCAATAATCGAGCTCCATTCATTGTTTCATCGAATTTTTGAAGCTCGATTTAAGTGATACCTATTATGTTTGATATTTTTCTTGCGTCCGCCATACGACCACATGCAATATTTACCGACGTTTCCATATTGCTTAAGGTCTCACTTTTACACAATGTCTGTTATTTCTGTTATTTTAGTGTTTTTCCATTTGGATTCGATTGTTAACTTGCCATTTTTCTCTTCATTTATTATTCTATATTATGTTTATGTTTAAGTTGATTGTTCAATATTATGCTTTTATTTGTCTGTTCTCACAAGGCCCCATGGGAGACTAACATATTGGGGCTTCCCTGGCTTCTTTTAAATAAATAAATAATAAAATAATAAAAAATATATCATCTTTTCTCTTGCTGGCAATATAAATAATTAGGTCATTTTCATATTTACATGACGCAACGACCAAGGGCGGATACAGAATTTTCTACAAACGGGGCACAAAATTAAAAAGGTCATCTTCTCGTAAGAGGGGGGGGGGGGGGACAATGTTGGTGTTGTGTATCTAGAGGTACATCACTTGGATTTGAAAGCGAAGGGGTGGGGGGGGGGGGAGAGGGGTGGATACGGATCGATGCATGATGCCTCCTAGATTGACCAGTGAACACGAAGGCGAAAATTATATTTACAAATTAATCTAAATTGCTGTCTGCCACTCGTGCTAGCATTCGTTCCATGTTGTAAGCGATTGCCCGTCATCGGGCTTATGCTATATTGGAAAGCAAACAAGCCTACCGCTGATAATCAAAACACGATTCGTTTACCCATCAGATAACCATTCTCTCTTCATTGATGAATGCATGCATCTCGACTGACGTTAACAGATAAAGGATGAGAAGTGTGTTATCATTCAATGGAATGTCCACTACGGGGGCATCATCATCGGGGTTAATAGAGTACATCGCACTCCCGTTATTCTGTACACTCTTGTACACTATCCTCGTTCAAGATTTTGTTTGTGTGTGCATTTTATTACATACCAACATATCTATAATCGTCATCATGATTATTATCAATTACCAAAATCACCGACACCATTCTCCTCCTCATCGCCAGTATCAGTGGCGTACGCAGGATTTTTGCAAGGGGGGTGTTTTAAAATGATAAAATCACGCCAAAAATTTCGCAACGACTCAGCCGGTCGCTGAATAAGCGGGGGAGGGGGGGGGGGGAGCACTTTTTTTTTTTTTTTTTTTTACCCCGTCAGATATTTCGTTCAGTGGCTTGGGGGGGGGGGGGGGGGTAGGGGAACACTTTTTTTTGTTACAATAAAAACAAATTGAGGGGGGGGGGGGTTAACCCCCAACCCCAACACCCTGCGTACGCGCCTGATCAGTATCACCATCACCGTCATCATCATCATCTTCACCACCACCACCATCATCATCATCATCATCATTACAATCGGCACCATTATCATTATCATCATAAGCAGCATAATGTTCATAAAGGAGTATGTTGACCATAAAACAGTACAACTTTAGTATTATAGTATTAGCCACGGTATCGACTAACTGTTGCCATGGCTACGATGCTACTAAAAAAAATGATTATTTCAACATGATTAAATGAAATACGATAATAATTTCCCCAATGTCCATTTATTTCCTTTATCGTATAATGTACTACATCAAATAAAAATAAAAATGTCATAATTTTTTAGAAAGAAATAGTAAAACGTTAACTTTTAAAGGCAGGCTTTACTACTTCAACCAGAAGGGATTAGACCACCCAGCGAGCCAGCGAGGTCACTGTGACAGGTGGCTATCTCATTAACTCAGCTCTCATTTAACATAAGAAAAAGAGGATCATGGGGGACCAACAGGCACCGATTGGGGAAGTTTACTATATAGAGGGAGCAAGTAGCTACAAGTAGGACAGTGTGCCTTTAAACTGTAATAACTCCTCTTCATTATTGCAAACATACTGTTTCCACGATTGTACTATTGATCAAAGTAACTATATAAAATAGGTAAAGAGTGCAAAACTTTTATATGGCAATAATGATATTCACTTAACAAATTTGACCCTTTGGATGCGTGATGGATTGGAAGCGTGTGGCATTTTCAGTGCTTTCTATTTGGCCACGCCCACGCGACTAAGCATATTTGTAAAGAAAGGGCATTCGTTTTGCATGACATGTAAATAACATTGTTTACTTCGTCTCGAGAACTGATCATAATATATGAGAACAAATAATAAAAAGAAACGATTTTATTGTGTGCATTTACGCAGCCCGAAACAGACTAGAATATACCTGTCACATTATCTGCATTGCATGCATGCATGCATGATAAAGCAACGCAAGTACATTATGGATCATGATGATATAGATTATTATGATGATAACAAAACATATAGAATGAAAATGATAAATCTATGAAATCATATACCTACCTGGCCGCCGAGAGCAGACCCCATACCCAATGCAGATCCCCGTCCTGGTCCTAATGCAGATCCCCGTCCTGGTCCTAAAGCAGACATGACTATATTATATACCTCGACTTTTCTGACGAATACAAGCAAAAGCACTCTCTATAAACACAGATTGATGTTACAAAATCATTCACTGGAACGGCAGAAGTATATACTCCTTGTGATATGTGACTCTGCGTGAAAAGTTAGGGAGCAAAGTGTACTATCGCCGGTATAATAGTTAGGGACGTTGTGTCGTGATAGCTGTTGTTGTGTGGATGTCAGGCTAGGGTCGAGCAAGGGCTCTCAGCTGAATAGTTGGAGTCTGATTCATGCGTGGGGAGCTGAGACCGGGGGACTCACTCCTTGAGATCACAATGGGCACTTGGTTTTTCCATTTTACAAGGGTCGTATCCAGAATTGTCAAACTATTGGGGTGCCGAAATGTTTCTATTCCCAGAAATTATTCCCTCAGAATACGGGGGTACTGATATATTGAGCTTGATTAAAGTGATGTCCTGATTTTGTTTTGGGGGGATGGAAATATAAATAATTATGTTATTTTATGTCAATTTATGTAATGTCATATTTGCATGACCCAACGACCAGGGGCGGATACAGAAATAATATTTTTACTTTCTCAATTTTACTTAGCGCACTTCCAATTCTTTTATTTGGGTGGATTCATAAATAATAATAATAATAATAGCTCACATTTATTATGCGCCTAATACTACGTTTCTAGGCGCGGAACATATTATTACCCCGGTCATCGGATTCAGGCTTACCCGCACACAAGGTATGCACATTCTCCACTCCCTGGGGAGCATTCCAGCCAGTCGCCATTTTACAAGCGCCACTTGCTAATCAAACCACATTAGCTTTCGCATCCTACCGGGTACCCATTTTAACACCTGGGTGGAGAGTGGCAAATGTAGATCAATGTCTTGCCAAAGGACATTAGTGCCGCGGCGGGACTTGAACCGCGGACCTTGTGATTCACAGTCCGGTGACATATCCACTCGACCACGACACCTCTATAAATACAAAACTACAAGAGATGGCAAGAGAAATGTTTATTACATTTGCTGGCCCAAAAAATGAAAAGAATCTACCGGCATTTAAAAAATAATACTAATTTAGAACTTTCCTCAAAACGAAAGGGCTTGAAAATGTCTTTTAGTAAATAGTCTGATTTTTAGACCCTTGTAACCGGATCTGGTGTACATTTTGTGCCCCGCGCAAAGATCCAATCAGTTTAATTTTGGGCATACAACAACATGCAACAACCGTCGATATCAGAAACTGAAGCTTTCGGCATGGGTGTCGATCCCGGGGGGGGGGGGGGAGGGGGGTGGCCTGTACAATCATCCCCGCAATAATTCACCATCAAAGAAAAAAAAAATGAAGAGAAAAATTAATGAGGGTCCGATGAGAGTAGTTAATGGTTATTACTCGCAAGATGACCATCATTTTCAAAATAAAAGAGAGAGAGAGAGAGAGGAAGAAGGAAGGAAGAGGACGTAAGAGAAAAAGGATTAAGAGTCGAGAACGGTACAACGAATCGTCTCCTTTCTCTAATAATTTAATCAAACGTCAAAAGCTTTCGCGCTTCGCGCGGGAGGGGGGGGGGGGGGGACTCCTCCCTCCCTGCACCCACGCGCTTGAGAGGATAATAACCGAGGTAGCAAGCCCATGTGTGACCCACATGGGTCCCTTATCTGAAATGTTATCTTTATTGAGGGTGACTTGAAAAAGTTAATAGCTTTGAAGGGAGGCGGTGCAACCTGCCACACGCTTCTACCTCTTGGTTGCTTTGGTTGCTTTGATCCATTGCTGAAAATATTTTGGCACCTATCATCCTCCCAACCACGGATACAAATCGACACCCATGGCTTTCGGTCCACTATATACCAGCCAATTCATCAAAGTAGTCTCAAAATCAAATCAAATGGCATGACATGACATCAATCAATATCAATCAATCAATCAATCAATCAATGAATAAATATCAATCAATCAATCAATCAATCGATCAATCAATCAATCAATCAATCAGTCAATCAGTCAATCAATTCATCCATCCAACCACAGAACTTTTAGAGTTCTGTGCATCCAACTCATCCATAGAGATATATACTTAATAAGGCTAGAGTGCGGACTCGTCATACGCGCCCGTTCAAAGCTCTGTGCGCGCATGGAGCGCGGTCCGCCATTACTAAGGAGGGCACAACTTCGAGAAATACCCGGATGTTCCCTTCGAAACTGTGCTACTGATATGCAATGTGAAGCTTCATTTTTCGGGTTGATTTATCGGTTTTCGAGTATGAAACGTTATAATTGTGGTATTTTGCATAATGCATGAACCCTACTCATGCCTCAGTCATGGTATCTGGTGTAGGTCAAGATTAATTACGGGTGTTATGGTGAGGTAAAAGGGACACAAAAAGCTATTTATATTTCAGTATATCTTCAATTTTTCTTCCTCTTTGTCAATATAAAACTGTGATATTATGACATCAAATATTACTTGGCTTTCAACCAATCAGAATCAAGCATTTGGGACTTGTATTTGATATTTATGTCATGATATTAATCAAAGTTTTATGCTACAGGGCCAATGCCGGGGGTCAATGTCTTTCTAATTCAGTTATCATGAAAGCCAGGGTTTATTGATTTAAAACGCTTTAAAGGTAATATATTCATTTTATGTTTATGGCTATTCGTGGACTTCCTGCAAGAGAGTCCTGGTTTTTCCATCTCTCCTGTTTACCTTGTTTCACCACTTTAAGCTGTTTCTTGGCATCCTGCACTTGCTGTCTGGTTACATGTATATTCAGTTTCTAATCAACTCAGACAGAAAAAGAATAGTCATGTTCTTTTGTAATGTCATAGGGTTTCTTTGGAGGCACGGGAACACTTTCGGATGTTGTACATGGTTTTGCTGGGAGTCTTGAGCCATGGGTCTGTTTATATTATAGGGAGGATGTCCAGGAAAGACAGTAGGCACAGCTCTAGGAGTAGGAAGGAGATGTGGTGTGTAACATCCTTTCCTCTCTTGGGTGTATTCCTGCATTACAATAAAAGCAAATGGAAACAATAATGAGTTTTTCTCATAACATGACAATTGTTCTACTATTCATGCTATTTCATGTGATTTTTAAGACTGAAACTGAAAGCAGCTTCCAGCCAAATAAATAAAATGTTAATTGATAGAAATAGTGTAGTGTGCGGTGGGATTTTTAGGCTAGCCTAACGTAGTTGGATAACTCCTGTGATGTGAAATATGGCAGGCTAGCCTGGCTTAGACCAAAAGCTTCAGTCTCTCTATATCGTCGGTTGTTCTACTGAGACTGCGTCTGGCTCCTCTAGACCTCTGAATCTGATTATATTATGGGGAATGTCAACAAATGTCAGTTTTATTAAAGAAATGACCCATATCAGACTGTTATTTCTGTCTAGCCTGGCTTAGACAGCAATAACCATCTGATTTGGGTCATTTCTTTAATAAAACTGACATTTGTTGTCATTCCCCAATACAGATGGCAACCCAGAGATCTCGTACCGCGGGGGTAGCTATAGCCAACAATGGCAGCTTTTTGTGTCAAAAAATTTTCTCCCCGATTTTCTTTATTTAGATCTAATTTTCTGATTTCTAAATCAGATGTAAATTAGGTCGGTATGTCATTTGTCCTAATTACAGTTATCAAAATTTGATAACTTAATATTAAATGTATAATTTACGGACTTACTTATATGAATTATCCAATTTGTATTTCCGAACTGTGAAACGGTACGTTCATGCATTCGAATTATTACCCGGCGGCCGATATATTTCCGGGTCCACCTACCAAAACATAGCCAAATGGCCAATCAGAGCACTCGTTTCGTGGGAGTTCGTTGGTCAAGCTGGGCCGACTCGTACGTAGCTACGGTAGCTATTGGACGTTCGAAAAGAAAAAATGAATATTCATCAACTAAAACCAAGACGGATAATGTTGACGACGAGACTTTCTCGGATTAATCATTAATTTAGGATCTAAATGAGCAAGCTATCGTAAGTCAAATAAGCTATATATATGTTATTTTTAATTAGACTCTAAATTATTGTCATATTGCAGCATGTATGAGGATGTAAAGAGTGAAAATCTCGTTGCATATCTCATTCATCGCGGTCCGGTCGAACCGAACCATTTGTTCCGTACAGTGCCTCACAGAAAGAGGTCCCCAGACTTCAGTCTCTATAATCGGAGGTCTAGTGGAGCCAGACGTAGTCTCAGTGGAACAACCGACGATTAGAGAGACTGAAGCTTTCGGTCTAGCCTGGCTTTGCCTTTCGGGCTTTAGAAATTAGAGACTAGAGTTTAGATCTAGATCTAGAGTCTAGCCTAGATTAGGGAGGCCAATGCCCGGGCGTAAGGCTTCTACACTTACGATTTGTGCGCTCGTCGCCCACTTCAAAAAATTAGCAAAGGGAAAAAAATGATGTAAAAATAAAAATTGAAGAAAATAAGAAAAGAAAATACAATTATACATTTCACAACATACCTATAATCACGGATCTGTAACAGTCTTTCACCATTTGTTGACAATCTTGCAGATTTTGACGTTTTTTAATCCAATAATTGTGGTTGCAGACGACCTTGACGCACTCGCACCACCGACTAAGAAAATCCTAGAGGGCGTAGAGGTTTGCTCACTAAAAACCTTCTCATTGGCAGAAGGTAGACCCTAAAAATATGGGATCCGTTTTGAGTAAAGAACTTTTGATAGAGATCAACATTTCAGATGTTCACAATTGCCACTTCTAACAACTAGAAAATATAAAGAAAAAAGATTATATCTTTTTAAATACAGATTTTTACAAACTGAACATTCTAAAGTAGATAGAGTACGATGTTTCTGTCAATCGTGCGTTGGTTTGAGCCCTATAGCTACATCCATCTCAAAATGAGAAGGAAAACAGTGAACAGTGACGTCATTGTTCGCGCCAAAAATAAAGGGTATTGCAATCTTGAGGAGGATACCGTAGTTCACGTTGTGGCTTCCTGCTCGACTACTGTCAAGTGTCAACCTTCTGGAAGACCTTATCGACAGAGCCAGTAGACTCCTGCATAATGTCCTCGACTCTGCACCAAATACACCACTGCTCAACACCCAGGACCCTTCCCATCTGACTTGCGCTATTCTCTTGCCATATGATCCATACCTTCCCTCCACTGTCAATGATTCTATTTTAAAGATGACACTTCACTATCTTTACAAAATTCATGCCCATCGCCTGCACTCCATACCCTCCAACTAAGGATTTTATAACATATTTACAGCAGCCTACTACTTCGAATGCGATATACTCGCTGATCTCCGAAAAGCGGAGGGACAACAACAGAGAGAGAGAGACATAATCTGAGCTCCGGTCAGATCGTGCGCAAAGCGTAGTCTTATTTATAGACCCTAGTACCTTATTCTCACAGCACTAGATACGAGTGTCGTGCAGTAATGTATGAGAAGTGTTAAAAAAGATATTTCAGTAAAAAAAAAAGTCTACGTGAGCAGTCTATACTCCAATTGAGAATTGAAATGAAAGCCATGATTTGAAGGTGTGTGTTGTATGATACATGGTTAGTGAGTGTGTATGTTACGTATAGCGAAAGGGAGAGAGAGAGAGAGAGAGAGAGTGAGAGAAATATTAGTACACGTACGGTACGTTGCATGCATGGATGTGCGCTATGATTGTGTTCGCTGCAAGATGGATGTTAATTGGACCTCGTAACTTCTCGATCGTTGATAATAAGGAATAGTCTACTCATGAGGAAATCAAATTATTGGAATGCACATCTAAGGTAAATATCAATGAATTATATATATTTCTATTCTTCATTTTTGAACCATCGTCTTCGGCTCGTAGTAGTAGAAGATGTAATCGTTCGCACATTGATGGCTGGACTTCAGCCTGCATCGGGGCTTGCCTGTGTCGGTGGTGGGATCAACTAAGAAGAAGAATGTGTGTACGTGTGCGACCGATTCAAGGCTAGCCGCTGTTGAGTGATTGCACTTTCGCGCGAAGTTTTAAACTTCATCATGAACTTTGTCCCTCGGGCCTGTCTAATTATGAACGTAACTTTGCGACATGAAATATAATTGTTTCAAGGCTCTTACGTACGGAAAGGCGTAGAAGGAACCTCATAGGAACTAGCTGGATATCTCCTATTTGATGGAACTTCTGGAGTCGGCAGATGGGTGGATTTTCTTAGTGAAAGTAAATGCTTTCTTTTAATCTTAGTTTTAGTATAAACAAATTAGTAATTAAAAAGTTAGATTTGGGCATTGGCCTCCCTACTAGCCTAGATCTAGATCTAGTTAAAATATAAAGAAGTTGACATTTGATTTTTATCTTGAAATTAGATAAGATAAAATTAATTAGTCTTTATCATTTTATTCTAGACTTTTCTTTAATAGAATCAAGCTCATGGAGTTATATTTCCGAGTTGGACTCTCTGGCTCTTGGAGTTGCGAGCGACTCCAGCGCAGCAGAATTTTCCCATCACCGTCCCCAGAACCTTAACCCATGCCTGCCCCCAGCCCGGCGGGCGTGGACTGGCGCGCTCCGCTGCTGCAGGAGCTGCGGTGGCTTGTCATGAGACAACCCGGGCCGGGTACAGACTACAGTCACTGCATAAACTACATTTTTAGCTCTAAAATCACCTTATTAATCAACATAACATTAAGAAGAACTTACTTGTGAACTATTATGCAGTTCCCTTTCTTTCTTCGGTTGGAACATCCAAATGCAGCGCACGAACCTGGCTTCTCCAAATTTTTCCACGTATGTTGTGCACAGTATCTTGTTGGGTCGTCCGTTTTTCTGCCCTCCTTAGTAATGGCGGCCACCGCTCCAGCTCGGAGCAGCAATTTGAGCGAGTACGCCCTCTAGTGTTTAGTAGTATATATCTCTATGAACTCATCTAATCAACTGCATTAGCAAACTTACTTGGGCTTGTTATTTGGCAGTTTTGGGCGGAGAAGAAGCCAATTTGACGAAACCCAGGAGCTAGGAGCGGCCTTTCATGATGGCTGCTAGATTTTTACTCAGACTGCAACCAATGCCTTTGCGCTTTGGTTGCATAATCAGGCAGAGGGTATGTATAGATATTCATCTTTCAGTTTAGGCTATCAGTTGCTTTTAAAAACACTGCTTAAAATGATATTTGTATGGTTGATTTCCTATGCGTATTCAATTCGGTCCCACATGCTGAGGTCTGTGTTTGTAAAGTATAGTAGTTCGGGCAAGCTCGGAATTCGGAAGTCTTCCGATATCGGCAGTCCCTGGCCACTACTTTCTGAATTCGGATCGCCAAATCCTCATAGCATATGCGTGTTCACTGCAAAAGAAACCTAGAGCGTCTTTCAGTGGCGGAGCCAGGCCAGGGAGCCGGGGGGGGGGGGGGGGGGGGGGGGGGACGAATAGGCTGTGGCCTGGTCTGCTGGAAAAACAGGAGAAAGAAGGTCAAACTAAACGGACTAACAAAAAAGTTAGGCCTACCACATCCTGCAGCAAGATCTCAGACTGCAGCTGTCAAGAAATTTTCCATCCTCTCCATCACACGTAATTAATTCATTGCTCTCTTCGCATCAATGGGTACCATCTTGACAACGATGCAATACAAATGGCTAAAGATTGAAAATACCTTGGAGTGAGGATGACTACAGATCTGTGATGGAATCTTCATTGCCAGAACATCAGGCAAAAGGCAAGTGTGTCACCCCGTTGCAAAGAGGTAAAGACCAGGGCCTACACTGCATGAGTCTGTCCTCAACTGAAGTACGTGTGAGAGGCATGGAATCTGCACACTGTCAAAACTATCAACTCACTTGAGCAAGTACACAGATCAGCGGCTCTATTTGTTCACTGTGACTAAAATGACTTTAGGAGAACAACATCCTCCTCAGCCCTTGCACAATACTCTCTTTTCCATTGATTATATCATCAACTGATCTACATGCATCTCCCACAAGTCATCATGCCAGCAACTTACTTCTGAAGGCATGACCAGTTGACCACACAGATTTGCAATATTCCCAAGGACAGTTCGAATATGGAATAGGGATCTGTCATACACATTGCAAACCCAGCTATATTCAGAGAGGCGGCACTGCCCCTCAAGAGCATGATGCTGGCTCCTACTGGGTCCCTCATGCTATACAAGGGCCCTAAGGCAGGCCCCTGAACCCCATCCGTAAAGATAGAAGTGGTCCCCCTGGACAGCCTGCCCCTGGAACCTATCCTAAACAACCCTTTGTTCTATAAAATGGTCCTTAAGAAAGAGAGAGTGTGTGTGAGAGAGAGAATTGATTTCCAAGGGGAAAAAACACAGGGGCAGTGCAAATTTCAAGGAATAGATTATAGTTTCTATCTCTCAAGACAGATATCTTGAAGGTTCTAAATTCCTAAAACTTGAGAGCATCCAGGGCTTGCACTTATGCCGACACCACACATAGGCTTTGGCCCCCTCTTAATAGGCCCCTCGCCGCTGTCTGCGTCTGTACATATATACACATAACTCCCAACGCTAATGTAACAGGCAACAACAAATGTTCATCTCAAATCCATGGGCCATGCATTGTATTTATAATTGTAGATCTATAGACCTACCAAGTGTCCCGCTTTTTGCGGGACAATCCCGCATTCAGCAATTTCCGGAAATTAAAAAAAATAAAAATGATAATGCCCAGTTTTTGTAAACTGAAGCATTAAAAATCCTTATTTTTAGGCCTCTGGATATCCTTTCCTATTTGCTCATCTCAAATCTATGTGCCATGCATGGTATTTATAATTGTAGATCTACAGACCTACCAAGTGTTTTGAAAGTGCCAAAACCCATGAGCCTCTGGGGGCTACCCCCCTGGACCCCTTCCTTGAATTTTGATGAGATTTTGATTTTCGATGCACCTTCTCTTCAGAAGATGAATCATAAGAAGAATATTGAACTAGATGTCAATTTCAAGTTGAACATGTGCGCAGACAGGCTCCTCATTATATATAGCATCCTGCCTATCTCTGGTTACAATTGTTGAAAATAGATGTAAGGTTAACAAATAAAAAATTTCTCCAAGGCTTGGAGGCTTTTTTCAGTATCCCAAGTCTTAAGACACTGTACTCCAAAACAACAAAAGGTATCCTAAGCTAAATGTAGGAAGAATTAAATGTTATGAAGACATGCCGTCCATCGTCCATATATCCCAAAGAAGATGCCTTGCCGAGATAAAATTGAATGGTTTACATACATTTTTGTCATCATGAAAATGCATGTATTTAGGCCCAAAATGAATTGAGCTTGATGCTTTGGGGCTGCTGTAAGTTGAATCAAGTGCTAGTGGCTCAATCTGCAATATTGATGCTATCATGAAAAAAAGAGGACTTTATGAATATAAATCCTACAAGAAGACATCAAACAGTCAGCCCAAGAACGGAAGTCGGATGCAAAATTCTTTTTAGTTTGCTCAGCATTGGGAGCATCTGCAAAATGTTACCTGGCTGGAATTCTCCCCAGTGTGTAGAGGAGGTGCATACATTGTGTGTGAGTAAGCCTGAATCCAATGACCAGGATGATGTTTATGAGACTCTGAACATGACAATTGTTGTTGATTGAGAGAGCATAAAGGTCTCATTTATTTCTTCCAATATGTACAATTTAAAAAAAAAAGTTTTAACAGTATGTCATGCATTTTTTTTTTTTTTGGGGGGGGGGGGTGTTTCAAGTTTCAAGTTTCATTTACTTTCATATTTCCATTGAATATTTACAATAAGATGACAAAACAAAGTTATGACATCATTAAATATATAATATCACACAATCAGACATACATGTATCTATAATTGTAAATGTTCAGTAGACCATGGGTGAGAAAAGTATGTCATGCATAATTTCATGTTTACATCAATATATTTGATAACAGAGTAATACATGCAGCATATGAGCTAGTAATACAAATAAATACAAAGTAATGAAAGAAAAGGGTGTCCCGAAAAAAGGAGGGGATCACCAGAGCAAAAAAAAGAAAAGAAAAAATAGAAGAAAAGATATACAATTGCTTTAAACTTCCTCCACGTTTGGTAGCAGAGTGGCTTAAGAAGAACAACGTGGTGGGTAATGGAGTAGCAATCACAAGGAGAAGACCTTAGTCGACAGAACTCAAGAAGCACTTTACAGGACAAGGAAGCTGAAGAACCAAGCTGTACTGTACATGATCTGCCAAGAGGACTGTCACTAGCAGAACATCTGTCCACAGCGACTGCGAGATGTGAAAACAAAACAAAAACAGAAACAAACATAAAACGAAAATACAGAGAGGATGCTTTGAAGTGTTGGTTTTGTTCGATGCAAAATCGTGAACTGCTGATTTTCAGGAAATATAACTATTTAGGTATTTGTCGTATCTTCCTTTTTTATGTATGTACTATATGTACATGTCCATGAAGTACAGACCAAACTTGTCTGTTCTCTGGAGGAAAAAATGATTTTGAGAAAGTTGTGAAAATGTGAGGATAACTATTTTTCTATGAGGTAGTGTTCTCTATATAAAATTTATGTCATGAAAGTTTTTTTAAGTGGTATGGGCTGAGGAATTTTTCAAGGCAAGTCAATGTGAAGTGAGAGAGATAGATGGGGAGAGAGACAGAGAGTAAGAGAAGAAGAGAGTGAGAGACGAAGAGAGAAAGAGAGAGAGACAGACAGACACAGAGAGAGAGACACAGAGAGAGAGAGAGAGAGAGAGAGAGAGAGAGAGAGAGAGAGAGAGATAGTTTGGGAATAGAGTGTATGGCAAAGGAAAAAAAGAGTTTGGAGATTAAAACTATGTATAATCAGGAAGTAAACAAAAGATGGATATTATTAGAGAACAGAGATCAAAAGTACCATACAGAAAAGATAACAGATCAAAGTCCATATCAAATTTTTGCTCAATAGGGTGTATATTATTATTGTTATAGCCTTAGAAGGACAAGAGGAGAAGAGCACATGTGACATAAAGTCTCTGGTGTTTAGTAAGTTCAGTGAAAATTACTACTCGGGAGCATCTTGACATTTGCAAGTGAATTTCCCATGCAAATTGTTGATTCTGTCGCCAAAGGAACTTGTTTTCAACCAGTGTAGTAATCAAGAAATAATAATGAAGCTGTTTGTGTGTTTGCTTCTTCTGTGTGCAGTCTTAGCAAGACAAGGAACTATAGCCTCCTCGTATATGCAGCCACAGTCCCAGACGGCAGCCAACAATTACACATTCCTTGTTCTAGCAGACTGGGGCGGGATCCCGATATGGCCTTACTTCAGCCCCTTCCAGTGGGCTGTGGCTAATCAGATGACCAACACTGCTTCAGATCACATCGCCAAGTTTGTCCTCGCTCTGGGTGACAACTTTTACGAGAAAGGGGTGACCGATGTGGATGATCCACGGTTCAAACAGACCTACGAGGATGTATTTCACTGGCCATCGATGCAGGTACCCTGGTATGTGGTAGGAGGTAACCACGATCACTACGGCAACATCTCCGCCCAGGTGGCTTACACCAAGGTGTCTCAGAGGTGGAAGTTTCCTGATTACTACCATAGCCACTCATTCCAGATCCCTGACTTCAACAGGACATTAGCCATCATCCTTGTCGATACTGTCATTCTCTGTGGCATCACCGACGACGAGACAACCGGCTCAAACCTTCCAGGACCTGCTAGTATCTCGGCCGCAGAAGAACAGTGGAAATGGCTCGAGGAGCAACTGGAAGCTTTCAAGTCGGCCGACTACCTCGTCGTTGGTGGGCATTATCCAGTCTGGTCTGTCGCAGAGCATGGACCGACCAAGATCCTCGTTGACCGGTTGCTCCCTTTCCTGGAGAAGTACAACGTGACTGCTTACTTCTGCGGACATGACCACAATCTCCAGCACATCAAGCAGGATAATTCCACCGTAGAGTACTTTGTGATAGGATCGGCAGATGTGGTTGAGCCATCTCGTAAGCATGAGCAGATGATCCCTCCCTCTTGGCTCAAGTTTATGGACGACAACATAGCGAGCCTTGGAGGATTTGCTCGAGTGACCATCACCAATGACAACATGTTTCTGACATTTATGACAGGACTTCACGGTAAAGATGTGTACTCCGTCAAAATGAATCCTCGTCCGAAGAGATCAGGCTAACAAAGACTACAATTTTATGAAAAATCATAATGCCGTCTAATTCTGTAATAACTCCATACTCAGGAATTTACTAATTCAAGAGGAGGTTAGCTGTCATCACAACTGTGGAATATACTTTAAATGCTTTAGTACATCTGGGGGTGTTTCACAATGCCTAAGACCAACTTAAGTTGGACTTGAAGTATGGCAGGTGATATATGCCCTTAAAAAGTCTTGAACCAGATGTAGAATTAGAGGAAAAGAACCATAGAAATTATGATCTTTAGACAATGTTTTTTCCTTCAATAATAAGGTATAAAAAAAATGTGAATTCTGTAGATTTCTGACGCCCTTGAGAGACCAATGGTGAGAGCAACCAGTGACATCTTAGTCGATCTTAGTCTTTGTGAAACACCCCCTGGTAGTATGACGCACACTGTGGACTGAACAAACCTCTACACTTGTGAGGATATACTATGTAGCATGCAAATATTCTGTGCACTTTGAGTTCAACTTATAACTTTGAAAATTAATTTATCCCTCGACTTGATTAGAATAAAAATTTGGGTTTTGATAATTGATTGCTGCTTATAAAAGTGCAATTAATTAGAGCTTGTATATTAGGCCTTTATCAAAGTGTACTAGTGTAGACAATGTGGTCATCAATCTTATCAAAAGAGATATAGATTACTAGTAGTACTCTTGTTTGAAAATGATGTGTATTTTATTTTTCTTTCCTAACAAAAATAGAAATATATACAAATAATACAATACACGACTTGTCTATGTTAATGTCTACACTTTCATATGACCAAAAATTTGCTTTCTAAATGGCAATAATGATTTTTTTTTTTTAAAGGCCCTGATGTAAATGTATAATGTAGTACTGTGAGCAGTTTTTGATGTGTCTAACATGACGTTAAAGCAAGTGCTATTTGAAAGACTGGCAAAAGAAACAAAATGACAAATAAATCTTTCCTTTCTGTCAACATTTTGATAATTGATACCTCCTTTATTTTTTCCTACATTTGTTTATTAAATAGATGCTTCTCTACTGTAAAACGGAAACCAGAAACACTCAACAAGAGTTTTGATAGGCACTATTTCAAAACTGAAACTTTTGTGATTCTTTGAAGTAATTCATCTGTGGCATTGATATACTTTTCCTTTCAATCTAGAACACTTGCAAAATTTGTGAATGTGAAAGTGTCGGATATAAACGGTAGTCTAATTATCCTTGTGTTTGATTACATTTTTTATGGAAGTCATGGAACTGTTCAGTTGATTGAGCAATTAAAAGAAGATACTTTTCATACAACATTCGAAAGATGGTGCAGGTTTGGTATTTCTTTTGTCATGCGTAAATTGTACAGATGCAAAGGCTATACATTGTGAAGGTCATTAGACTTTGGTTTGAAGATGATACCCCTGAGTATCAACAGATTTCATGCTTTTTTTTCAACAGTTCTGCTTGTACTTTGTGCCAAGTAATTTGGTTTGTAAGTAGGTTTGTTGTTTCTGATAAGATTATAGTTAATTGTGCTTACATCAGTTATCTTATGCTTCCAAACGGGGTTTCCAAAAATGAGGCTTGCCTAATGCAAGAAGGAGAGAGAGAGAGAGAGGGAGGGAGGGAGGTAGAGAGAGAAAGAAAGAGAGACAGACAGAGAGAGGGAGAGAGAATGACAGAAAAAGGGAAAAAGAGGGGGTAGAGAGAGAGAGAGAGAAGTAGAAAATGAAAATTGAGGGGACAAGGGGAAAATATAAAAAAAGATGAGAGCGAAAAAGAGAGCATGGTGACAGATTGAGGGAAAGAGGAAGAGAGGGGAGAGGAATAGAAAAGGAATGTACCCCTGCTGACTCAATTTTATATAATTGAAGACGAGTGTTGATTGGAGTGATGCATTCTTGGTGTGGAGTGTGTGGACCCATTTTAAGACCTTTTTAAATAGATACCATCTCTTTAGAGCCATAGTATATTAACTCTGTGTTTAAGGCTCTAAACAGATCACAAATTCGTTTTGTACATTTATACAGAATTTCAATATCTTAAAGCCCTGATTGTTCAATTGGTTTAAAAGGTTGAGCAAAAGCTAGCCATTGGAGAGCTGTTATTCAGACAAACCTTAATCAGATAATTATCTAAAACTTTGTCTTTTTGCCTGTATCATTAAAAGTTTGCATTTCATTCTTTCACAAACAGCACCAGCTTCTGACCAGGCCGTTGCAGCAACACTGCTACTGCACTGCTGCTGCTGCTCCTCAACCCAAGACATCCACACCAGCTCCTTCATCCTCCTCCTCATCGTCATCTTCATCATCACCATCATCATCTCAATCATCCTCATCGAGTACATCATCATCATCCACCACCAGCACCAGCACCGGCACCGGCACCCCTACAACAGCTGTCACTCCATCATCACAGGGCCTCGCCCAAGACAAGACGGTGGCCAAGGTGGCACCCAGCATGAACCCTGTCCTGGATGTTGGCCCAAACGATGAGGACGGTTTTCGGGAGCGCTTCATCCCCCTCTCCAGGAGGTCCCTCATCAGGGAGCTCATGCAGGAGGATGACTTCCTTACCGATGCGGAGAGGAGACGGTATGAGGAGTTTGCCATCGCCATGGATAATGCCATCAGCAAGCAGTATCATGGTGTTCTAGCAGAACTCAAGGTACATATTCAATTCAATTCATTTTATTTGCACATTTGATAAAAGTCACAATAACAAACATTTACAATACAAAGAATTAATCACTGAATTTTCCTGTCCTTAATGCCAATATCTCTGTCTTAAAGGTTTCTTTTCAACACAGTATGTATTAGAGTAAACAAATGACAGATTCACGTGATACGCAAAGCTTTCATCTGTTATCAAGTTCATCAGAAACTCCTTCTGAATCTTAGCCATTGAAAAAGAACAAATCTCTAGAGGGTAAAAGCGATCCAGTAACTATGTCTCAGACTCTGAAACAAAATCTTGGATTTAGCTCACGCTGCAATGATAATTATAACCTTTAGGTCAGTCAGGAAGCCAACAACTTTTACAAGCCTACAACACTACAGTCTACTGGGGAAAACAAGTATGGTAAAAGCGGTCATTCAAAGATTTTTACTTTTTTGAGGCACTTCTTGATTATTTTCAAGTGCGATTTTTTTAATGGCTTCAATATGACACCATATCACAGACACTGCTAACACGTAGGGGCCGTACATCTCAGATTTAACATTGGTAAACGATCCCTTTAATCTTGTCTTGTCTGATTATTATGACAGCAACTGTTTGATCCGGTGAACCCAGACAAGGACACCATCGCTAACCGGTTGCTAGGGAAACGGGAGAAGGACGACAGTGAGTTCTGGCTGATGCAGAAACTCCAGGCTCTGATGGAGAGCGCCAACTTCCATGAGCTACCCAGTCACGTCGTGAAGAAGGCTTTAGATGAGCACATGGCAGGAGAAGGTGTTAATGTGAGTATCTAATATCTTGGGGGTGTTTCACAAAGATCCTAAGTTGAACTTATCTCTAAGGTGGACTTAACAATTATGGTAAGCTGTTAGCATCTTTGAAAATAGTTTGTAAAAGTTATTTTAAAAGGCATAAAACGATGATTCAAATCATTCTTATTTTCTATTATCAAGGAGATTTCATGTTCTTGATGTGGAATTTATAATAAATCTAAAATACTTGATTTTTCGCTTTTGAATATATTATATTTTAAGGCTACAAATGGCTCTCCATAATTTTTAAGTCCAACTTAATTTGACTTAGAATCTTTGTGAAACACCCCCCTTCACTCTTTTTTATCATCAATTTTTTGCTGTTAGTGTGTCCCTCAGTTAACCCAGAGTGTCAGTGTTTATTACCCCTAAATGGCTTTTGAAGATGTTGCAACTGTAACACTATACCTCAAGAGCTCTACAGCTCTATCCTATTACCCAAGCTGAATCACTGATCTCTATTAAGGTAGCTCAGCCAAATGAAGTTGCACAAAACAGACGAGTCCGGAACGCACAATGTATAATTGTTGGAAAACATAATTATATCATACAGAGGTAGAACCACATGATTAGGATATGGAACTGGTAAATGCATATAGCATCCTGATGAGGCTTAATTTTAGCTAAACTTTCATTCAGATATTTCAAAAAACACTTTCATTTCATGAATATTAAAGAGATATCTGATATTAGTGTGCTACCTGATCTTAACATGGATGGCACAACAATCACTCTTTCCCAATCTGCCAAGGATCTGGGAGTCACGGTGGACAACGTGCTAAATGTGAACCAGCATATACGCAACGTGTGTCGTATCGCAGCTTTCGGGATCCACAAAGTTGGAAAACTGCGAAAATTTCTGGATCAAAGTTCTACTCATCGTCTTGTTAATGCCCTTGTAACTTCCCACCTTGATTACTGTAATGGACTATTAATCAATCTCCCTAGCTCTCATTCAGCCCCTCTTCAACATATTCGTTCTCTACACTGGCTCCCCCTCCAACAACGTATCAAATTCAAGATTCTCATGCTGACATACAAGGCCTTTCACAAACTTGCTCCCTCATATCTCTCGGCACTCATCACTCCTAAAACTCGAACTTCATCTATGCGTCTCAGATCATCATCCACAGCACATCTTCATCTTGCCCCAGGCCCTCGCACCCACACCCGCTATGGAAATCGTGCCTTTTCTGTCTGTGCCCCCCAACTTTGGAACAATCTTCCCCATGAAATACGCGAGTCCCCAACCTTAGAGACATTCAAAAGTAAACTTAAGACTTATCTGTTTAATATGTAATGTAATGTAATCATATTTTGTTTGTTTAACTATAAAGTGTTATGTAAATATTAACTATTATTATTGTATGATTGTTATTAGGAATTTGTTATTATAATTATGTATCATGTATTATATTCTTGTAATTTGTAGGTTAACATTACTTTAATTTAATATTTTGTTAAGCGCTTAGAAACTTTGTATTAAGCGCTATATAAATGTAATTTATTATTATTATTATTATTATTATTATTATATCGACTGCTAAGAGAGGACTGGCTATTTTTATACCCAGTCGCGTCTCGGTTGATAGCAGTGGAGGCAAACTTCCTGAGAGCCAGTATAGAAACAGCCAGTCCTCGAGTATTCAAACAGTCAAATTCCCTTTTATATGCCGAATTCAAACAAAAAATCTACCAAGAATTCTCACCTTATCCTTTTATCAAGTAAAGATTGGTTAAAACATGATGGAAAATCTGATAAACTGTCTGTTTATCACCGCCCAAAAAATGACTGAAATTTTTGATCAGTTGGGAATCGCAGACAAAAAGCACTGTATGATGTCCGCACTCGCTCAAAGAACATTTTAACACGTAAACCACAGCAAGGTATCACAGCAAGATTTTATTATTTTCCCTGTAACTGGAATTTTGCCGGGATTTTACTCTTGGACTATTAAATGGTTTTGGCATTTTTTGTTCCTTTACGGGAATGGCTAAAATCACGACTGCAATTTCGACCAATCAGATGGCTGGATTTCTTAAGTGAGGTATATAACAGTAACTATTACTCCTTTTGTGGTCTGGATGCGTCTTTTCGTTGAAAGATGCTGACTTACATGTAGGAGTTGATAAACTAATGTTTTTGTGATTCAAGATATAATCAGATTTTTTGTCAAATGGATTGAGTGAGGTTTAGGGTAAAGGTCGTTACCGGGTTTGAGGTTCGGTTAAGTGTTAGGGTTAAGATTAGGTACTGTGGGGTCCGGGATTGAAGTTAGGAATAGGACAAGTGTTAGATGTTTACTGCAGAGTTGATGGTTTACTGATCAGGTGTCGTTCAATCAGTCCCTAGCTCGACAGGAGTAGAGAAGGATTAGTCTGCCTACTCTAGACTAAATACAAGACTGTACTTCAATGGTAGGAGGGAAATAGGGCACAGTTCATTGAAAGCAGTGAAAGCCCACTTCAACTGAAAACAGGCTAGACCTTCAGAGTCCTGTAACATCAAGGGCATGTGTTATAAGATATTTATCGAGCTAACAATTTTTCGGACCAGTCCATTCTTATTTCTATTATTCTTTAGCGACTCTGGTCTTTTATGATTTAAACAAAGGTTTATCATGATGGCTTGATCTTGAAAGTAGCTCATAGAAGTCTCTCACTCAAGAATACTCCATGAGATATATTTATACAAATGAAACCTACTTTAATGGGTGAAAATTAAAGGAAATTCACTCTTTTACATGTTTTATGACCTGTCATGCAATATTTTAGTTTGTGTTTCCCCCTCATTCAGTGGGGATATCATCGGAAAGAGGTTTTGATCTATATAATCCACTTGTCGATTCCTACGTGCACCTTGTAAAAATCTCCTGTTTACAATGTTGAAGGTTCCATGACTTTCTCTGACAATACACAAAATGTAACTTGTATATGGCAATTTTTCATAATTCTACTACATTTTTTATTTCCAGGTCAGTGTGAATGCAAAGAACTATGAGATCCTGAGATTCTGGGCTCTGGGCAAGGAACTTCCTACAGACACCACTCCCTGGTACAAACGTCTATCAAAGTCCTTCTTCTACAAGGCTTCCAAGAGGTCACCACCTGCTGCTATCCGCTACTACAAGCGCATCGTCGTCGCCGTCAAACCCAAGGGCCAAGACAAGCTCATGCTAAAGATGTTCAAAGAAATACCCACGGGGGCGCTAGAGCAGTTACTCCCTGACGGAAAGATCAAGATGAGTGGCTCTGATCAGGGTCTCCTGATGGCCACCGCATCCATTGGTTCCCTCACTTTACTGGTGAAAGTGGTGACGGTTCTAGCCGACATCCAGCTCCAATGGACTCTCATCGTCGCCGCACTAACAGGTATCATTGGACTCCGCGGATGGAACACGTACAAGAATCGGCGCACCCGCTACATGATGCAGCTGTCAAAGACTCTTTATTTCAAGAACGTTGCCAACAATAGAGGGCTCCTGGCGTTGGTTGTTGATAGGGCTCAGGATGAGAGCTTCAAGGAGTGTCTCCTGGCATACACCTTTCTACTCACCAACAGACCTGAAGCTGTGAGGGAGGCAGCTAATACAGACCCAACAAGTCTTCCTTCACTACTAGGTAATCAGAATGGTTCAATATATGGGATCATTTTGGTAGTATCTTCAGAATTTGATTTGGGTGTTTTTTTTACCTGATTGTCTTATAATCGCCCTGCAATTTGAAATGCTGCTATTTGAGAGCTATTTCACTTCATAAGTTTGTGTGTAAAGGAAAGTCAACAATTAGGACCAGTAACACTAATGTAGTTTTGTATCCATTATAAATAACCACAAACAAAGAACAACTCCCTCTCCCCCACCCACCCCCCCCAAAAAAAAAAAGAAAAAAAAAAAAAATTGATTAGGAAACAGAATTTCATCTTAAATTATTGAAACATAATCAAATTGGTGCCGGCTAAATCTTTTTACGGTCATCACTACCTTGAGAAGATCCTATAATGATGACTGCAAGTTTATTTGAAGTATAGCTCATACTGAAAAAGATCTGAAGATTTTGAATGTCATACCCTAGGTCTGTCTAAGTGCACTCTCATATAAACTTTCTTCATTATCTTGTTGTTTCCCCTTCTGTTCAGGTGGTATACCTGGCTCAGCCCTTGACATGACCGTTGAAGAGTGGGTGCGGGAGAGGACGGGTGCAAACGTCAGTTTCAGCTCCAAGACCGCTCGTAGCATCCTGGAGGACTTTGGCATCCTCTACGCGGACGAGGACGACACCCTGGCCGTCCTTCCCTTGGATGCCGCCCTCTTGGGTCTCCCCCGGCAACCGGCTTCCATGGCAACGAGAACAGAGGAGGTGGAGCTAGAGGAGGGGTACGACAAGATCTTCAGAGAAAACGAGAAGACATACAAGAAAGAAGATAAGACGCAAAGGAGGCATGGATGGTCATAAGCAAAGATTAATTTGGAATTCAATTCACCAAAATTTGAAATATATCATATGAATTTTGTTTGTCAAATTGATTATTTTGCAATCAGAAGTGATTTACTCTCTTGTAGAGCAATGCCAATTACCTGAGCGGGTGGGGGAGGGGATGCTGTTACCTCTCCAAGTTGCTGTCAGTAAAATCTGTTTTAGGGACCAGATAAACAACCAAACAAACTTGCCTGCAGTACCTCTTAGGAAGTAAAGTCTTTGTAAAGTGTACCAAGTCCTCTTTGAACCTTACTCTAGTTACTACTTTATAATCCATTGCTACATATGATATCACATGTGAACTCTCAAACATGTAGTTCACGTGTTTTTGATAAATTGGTTCCCGTGTGACATCGTTAGCCAAAATTATTAAGGGAATTTCAGGAGATACAGTACTTGTAGTTTACTCTGCAATTATGCAATACGCACTGATACTTTAGTTTATACAGTGGCTGTCAACTGATGATATAAGCAAAGCTGTTTAAAGAGTTAATCAAAGAAATCTGTCTGCCTGTCTGGCGCCCTCTTTGTCCTAAACAATGCATCTCTCAGCTTCTCTCTGTCTTCCAGTCTCTATTTTATTCTCTATAACATCCCTATTTTCATGAAGTGACGGTAGTGAGGAAAATCGTCACGCAAAGTGAATGCAATTTTTTTTCACTACCGTCACTTCGTGAAAACAGCAACGATAATATCATTTAGAATATTGGGGGCTGTGTTTCAAAGTCAGTTAAGGTGTTACGAACACATCTGTGTAGAATGAGTGTATTCATAGGTGCAGCTAATTTTGCCAATACAAAGTTGTGTATTTATTTGTTAAAGGAAGCAATAAAAAAAAAATCATTAATAACTTGGGAAAATTTATATTACAAAATTATCATTCATTTTTCTTCAGACAGTCTGTGTATTTTTTTTCAAATATGCAAAGAACCGAAGATACATAATAGTACATTACCATTTACATGTACTTCCATTTTCAATTCAAAAGTTGTCTCTGTATTTAAGTTTCTGTATGTCTGTCTCTTCCTGCATGTTTTCGTTTCTTTTGAATTACTGCCTGTTTCTTGATATGTCTGTATCTTTGTATATCCTATCTTCTTCTTTTTTCTTTCTGTCTCTGTCTCCATGTTAGACATGTCATGTTTGTCTCTCTCTCTATCCCTCTCCCCTTCTCTCCCCCCTCTCTCTCTCTCTCTGTGTATCTCTCTCTTTATTTCTCTTTCTCTTTCTCTCTCTTGCTCTCTCTCTCTTAAAATATCAGGAGGAAGAGGTAGACAGATTATGTAAACATGTTGATCAAAGCACGTAATCACAGGAAGGTAAAACAAGATGTGAAAAGGTGAAGGCCACTGGAAACATTGTTGCGTACTGCCTGAACAGGTTTTTCACATTCACATTAAAGGAGCTCTTTGAAAATTAAACAAATATTTCAAGCATTTCATTGTTTGTACCAGGTGAGCATCTCCAGCCAGGCAGTGGTTCTTTCTCACCAATAGTACAGTCATTATTTCAAAGTTCATTTTATTCAAGCATGCTTAGAACTCATGTTGTGTGCTTGTGTCCCATTTATAGCAGAAAAGACATTTTCAAAAAGTCAAACAAACCTCTACTGGATGTCAACACTACATGTGCAAATATAAATGGCATCTACCAAATGACTCTTGATATAACATACAGGATACCTGAGTTATGAGTGGGGAAAGGAAATCAATCTAGTTGGCCCAACATGTGCATAATTTTTGGCTTTTCAATTAATATGATTTCCAGTAAGCTTTGAGTAGTTTATTTATAGTTTGTTGGTCTTCACAATCCATTACTGCATGGTAAAACGATGAGAATTACCACGAACCTAGTTTCCTTTGATAGGGAATTCAATTACCAGCACCTCTTAACAAAGAGCTATTAGTAATTGGTCATACGATTAATAGATTGATTATATGATCAACTGATTATACACAGTGAACAATTGCAAAATATCAATCAGTCATTAGGTTGTGTACTCGTGTCCCATTTATAGCAGAAAAGATGTTTTTATACACAGTGAGCAATTGCAAAATATCAACCAGACACTACTAATGTTGTGTTACAGGGCCCAGAACTCAAGTATTAGCTGTAACAGTATTCATTAGCATTGCACGATAGATCATAAAAATCATCAAAATGGGACAAATATTCTGCATGATTTTTCTCATGCTCGATCATGCGCATTGGTGAGAACAGACCAAATACACGAAAATAGATAACTCTTGTTCTAGTTTTTTTCCTGTGTAGATTCAAAAGTTATTGCTTATTACAGTGAAACTCTGTTGCAACAAACCAGTTAGGACCAGCCACAAGCTTCGACAGGACCCCTGTTTTGCAAATAAGTTATTTTCAAGCTGTATAGGCTTCGACAACTACTGCTTATGCATAGGTCAAATAAATAATGTGGATGCCTAATGCATTTTTTTTATAAAGATGATGCTCATCTTGTTCTTATTCAAAGCACAGTCAAACCCTGTTGCAAATTAACAGTTTAGGACCAGCGAAAAGCTTTGTCATGATCACCTTTCTGAATTTTGTTCTTTCAAAGCTATCTAGACTTGGATAATTGCATATTCATGGTTCGAAAGGGTATTATTTCAGGGTATGTCCATCAATGTTATGATATTGATTAATAGCAATAACAACAGTACATCTGCATTTACAGAGCAGGGAATGAAATTAGATTTTAATGAAAGTGATGAATTTGACAGAAATGAGTGCTTTTATTGTTGTTGAATATTTATGTAAACTTCATCTCTTTGAAAAGAGGCAAAGTAGGCAATGGTTGCCTACATGTCTCTTCAATTAAAGCTTTTTAAAAGCATGATAACCACATAATATGAGCGGCATTGTGTACATGTATATATGAAAAGAGAAGTTATCTGAAATGCCAAGGAAGGAATCGTTCGAATGTGGAGACAAGATTAATGTCTCATCCATGTGTATCGTGGAACTGAACTGAAAACAATAAACCCTCAGTTTTTGAGGCTATAAGCATAAAACGTGAGCATGTTTGTTCTGTTGTTTACTCTCTCTTTGCCAGCTCCCTTGTTTGGAATAGCCATGATTGTGAGACAGAAAAGTAGAAGGGTGTAAAGGGACACAGAAAAGGCCCCTCTCTCCTGAATGCCCCCCCCCCACCTCCTCGCCTTGTAATAGAGTGTACGAATGACCCTTTAAATATATATGTTAATCAAGAAGAGAAGATTGAAAAGCCTAAGACCCCCCCCCCCCCCCTCATGCACGCATGCACTATTTTTTTTTTTGCTCCTGAAAATTTGAAAATCGCGCCGGCCGAAAAGTCGCTCAGTGGGGGGGGGGGGGGGGGGGGGGGTTAGTGAGCACATTTTTTTTTTTGGCCCTCGAGAATTTGAAAATTTGAACCTCCCCCCCCCCCAAAGGTAAAAATCACGTGTTTTTAAACCGTTTTTTCCCAAGGGGGGGGGGGGGGGCTCGGGCCCCCTGCCCCCCCCCCCCTGGATCCGCCACTTGACTTAACACTCCTGGCGCACAAAGTTTACACAAAAGCACCTGATGAAAAGCCCATGCCCAAGAAATTTACACTATATGGAATTCGTATGATAATGTGAAATGCAATAGGTTATAACTTTGATCGCTATTGTGGTAACTCTATATTTACCGGAGGTATTTGGAATTTGTATCCCTTTTTAGTCGGAGCTTATCACCAGACGAGGTTTCTATCACTTAAAGAAATGCCGGCATAATTTTATGCTTCTAAATCTTTTATGAGTTCACTCGGTAATAAAATAAAAATCGCAATAATTAACACAGTACGCTAAGATGCCCTTGAGATATGGTAAAACAGTCCAGTTCTTTTATTTTTTCGTTTAGAGTGACAACCAAGTTATATTTTCAAACGCTTTAAGCCTGATGCTTCTTTCCTTGCTGAATAATTTTTAAACATTTTCTGAACCTTTTTGAAAATAAATTCCTTAATATTTCTGAATGGTAGTCGAATGTGGATTTTCTCGATTTCATTTATCGGTTGTTCAATGAATATAACATGAAACGATAACAAAGAGGTATCGGCTTTTACTTGTAATTGCCCCCTCTCCCCTTACATCATCTCCTGTCTAAAAAAAAATGAATAGAAAAGAAGGGGTATGTTAGGATGTATGGTCGATAACACATGAGCAAAGTATTGTGATAAATCATGATAATTCGCAATTATCGCCAAATTCGACATAAAATACATCGGCCACGAGTTAAGATAGCATTGAACGAGGTAGAATATCGTACGATTGATGGCTAGTTGACCTTGGCCCACGGATTAGTAAGGTAGGATATGAAACTATAATCAAAGTTCGCCTTGGGGTGAATTAGTAATAACAAAATTGTTTTGTTTAAGTAAAACGGTAGTGATCATTTCTACCAGATGGCGGGTCAAATGTAGGCATACATACAATGTCCGTCAAAGCTGTTTTCAGACACTCAGAATATGCTGTAAATGTACAGTGCGTATATATATATATATATAACAAAAAATGTAAGCCCAACTTTGGTAGCTCATAATCAAAAATTCATAACCAATTTGACTTTGAAATAAATGTCATGGTAAGACATAATTTGTTTCCTTTCTAACGACACCCCATTCTTTTTTTTTCTTCCTGTAACGGATGACTGAGCAGGAGGGTCTTTAAAAAGTGTTTAAAAATCTACCTGTATAGGCCCTATAAGTTTAGGCAGGTGCACCGAACATGGTTACTTTTTGGTCTTAAATCATCTTAAATTAGGTTAAGTTATCTTAAGTTAAATTCTGCTCCGTGATTTAGTGCGTCATTGATCCAATAAACATGTACATGTATCTAAGCTTTCATATGACCTTATTCCAATCCATAGGTCTAAAAAAAAAACATTGACATTTCAAATAGCCAAACTTCTTGTTTCACTCTCTCAAAAATAGACCGATGTTTAACCCCCTTTTCATGTCTCTCTATTCAAATCCACTAGTATGACGCCATTCACATACAAGGTGCATTATTGTGGTATTTGTTCCAACTAGCAAATGGCAACGCAAAAGTTTACCAAACTCAAAGAATTAGGAAGTAAAGAATGGAGAGATATCTTGAATATCTACGTAAGATATTGACACTAGAGTCTCGTGGAAAAAGGTTAGAATCCCGAATAAACTTTTTCCATTTTGAACGACTCTTAGCTCTTAAAGGTACGATGTCCCTTTTGCAGGCCCAAACAATGAAAAGGTTAAATTCCAACGGCATTTGAAAGATAATACTAATTTAGAACTTCCCTAAAAAATGGGGGCTTGGAAATTGTCTGTAAGTGGGGAAATAACGACTATTAGTTGTCGAATCGACTTAGGAACTATAAAGCCAGTAAGTAATACTTTGATTTTCAGACCATTGTACCGAATGGTCGTACGTTTTATGCTACGCAAAAATTCAATCAGTTTAATTTTGGCCATGAGAAGAAGTGGGTTATTGATGTACACAAATGCTCATTTACCCTTTACAGCTCATTTTATGTATGTTATTACCAAAGAAGAAAAAAACCAGTCAGTCACTCAACAGTGTCTGACAGTGAAGACTAGCAAGTAAACGGGTTTCCTTGCATAATTTGAATATTAGGACACTGCTGAAGTTTAAATTTCACAGATAGGACATACATGACATATTCACAATTCCTGCAAAGTTCTACAGAATTTGATGTTGGCTGCAAAAGGGACATAGTATCTTTAAACAAGGGGATGGGAATGAAGCCAAGATTACGTCATCATAACAAAGAGAAGAATCTTGCTTGTCAATAAGCCTTTTCTTGAGCTTTTCTTGAATTAACATCAACAACTTTTCTATTCAAATGCACAAAGTCCATGTAAATGATTCAGGAATTGTTTTCGGACTGAATTAACAAAATTCGTATTGGCTTTTGACCCGCATTCGTTGCTTCAGCCAAACAAAAACATTTTGAAAAGGCTGCTGCAAAGTCATTCTTGGCAGTGGAGTTATGAATAAAGTATTATCAGATAGGGTACCAGTTACTCTTTACCATGACATAAAATTCAAGGTCACATAGTTTATGATTAATTATAATTAAAAGCTTACAAAGTTGGATTTTCTTTTAGTTGCTGTAAAACGATTCTTATTATATATCTACAGAAAGCTAGACTCGGCTACACTATAAAATGATATTCAGCAAGGTTGAAGGTAATCTATCGCATGTCTTCTGTTTTAATCACTAGTTTTTTTCAATGTATAAAACAAATAACAATGCTGACAGTCAACTTTTGTTTCTTTTCTTATCTTTTTCCTTAGTGGTTGTTAAAATAATTCCCCCCCCCAAAAAAAAAAAAAATACCCCCCCCCCCCCCGGTGAAAAGAAGCATCGCTCAGTTGAGCACTCGGCCCAGATATGTTTGCTCAAACATTCACAATTGTAGGCAATGTTTATTCTGGACCTTATACAGTACTATCTCATCGTCTAACACTTTTATTTGACAGGTCTATAAAGATAACTTTTTCCTATTTATGGCATATCGTCTACCGCTTACACAAATTGTAACTATTCAAAACTATCACTGTCCACAGAAAGTCATATTTCCAATCAGTCGTCGTAATGATTTGGAATCGAAAACGGAAAAGATTTTGTCGTCTAAGTTGTCTTAATATGAATAAATAAATGTCTTATCTTTCATATATTTGTTCTATTCTATCTACAGGCGGGTGGCCAGGGGGGCGGTGGGGCGGTCGCCCCCCCCCCCAAAAAAAAAAATCGCCGGCCAAGAAAGAGAGAGAGAGATAGGGAGAGGCGAATAAAGAGGCGAATAAAGTAAGAGGACGTAGGAAGAAAAAGGAGCAGATAAAGAAATATTTTTGAAAAGTCAGACAATGATTAAGAGTCGGGAATTGTACAACGAATCGTCTTCTTGCTCAAATAATTTAATGAAACGCCAAAGAGAGGGGGGGGGGGTGGGGACTGAATTCAGATAAGGATCAAGAGTCGAGAGCGGTACAACGAATCGTCTTCTTTCTCCAATGATTTAATGAAACTTCAAATAAAGGGGGGAAACTGAATTCAGACAAGGATCAAGAGTCGAGAGCGGTACAACAAATCTTCTTCATTCTCCAATGATTTAATGAAACGTAAAAGCTTCCGCGCTTCTTGCGGGAGGGGGGGGGGGGGGAGGGGACTCCCCCCTCCCTGCACCCCCCCCCCCCCCCCCCATATAGGGAGCGCGCTTCGCACACTTTGCATGCTCACTACCAAAGACGTTTAAATATAAGTACTACCGCCCCCCTAAAACAAAATCCTAGCTACGTGATGTCTATCTGTTATTTGTGACTGATCGACCCACATTTATTGTCACCTATGTTCGAGACCTTCAACAGTAAATCATTTGAAGCACGTAGAGAAACATACCGTTTCCTTCCACAGGTAAAAAGGTGCAACAACAAGTCGTTGATCCTACAATTTCTCAGGCGACACTGTCTGTTCAAGAGTTTATATCATCACGGATGGTAGGGTCATAGGGGCTATGTCAATGATCGGAATTTAGTTTAGGTTTCGTGTTATTCTTACAATGGTAGGTGAAGTATTCAAGTTATAGAATTCGATCCGAGTATTAATAGTTATTTCGCTGGAGCATGCGTTGTACCATTCAATTCAATTCAATTCAGTTTATTTGGCATCATAAAAAACATAAATATAGAATAACTTATAGAAGCAACCTGTGCTTGTACATAAGGCCCCTTTCGAGGTAAACACAATATTAAATTAAAAGGTGAAATAAATGAAACTTACGTAAGAAGAAGAAAAAAGTGTCAGCAGGTATCATTCCACAATCACACAAAAACACACAAGAGCAATACAAAAAAGGGAGAGTTCAGAATGAGAAAGAGAAGAAAGGAAAGAGGTGATCAACATAAAGTAAAGGAAAGGAAGAGGTGGAAGGAGAAAGAGAAGAAAGGGAAGAGGTGAGAATGAGAAAGATACGAAAGGGTCTACCATGGTCGTACCATCTATAAGTCTGTAAGCTAATGTGTCCCGCCCACTTTTTGGAATTTCCCCATTCATTACTTGTAACTCATCTGACGCCACACGACAATTATACAAACGTGCCTTATTGGCCTCATATAGTCTTATCAGTCGTCAGCTATATTTGAGGGCAAGCATTCTGGTTATTCAACTTTAATTTGATCATTTCCGAAACGCACAAACAAGGGGCGGATCCCCTTTAATATTCTGACATAAAATAATCTAACTCGAACTTGCAAGTGCAAATAAACGGTGGGTCGCTTTAGCTTTATAAACAGAGGTAGACATTATACGTGTTTCTTCTCGTGTGACTAATTCAATGATATTTGAAATTTATAGGTCAGCTATATAAGTGCATACCACAGAAAGCTTTATAGGTCAGTTTGGTTTTCGGGAACAGCCTTTAAACTTCAACCTGTTTACTGTGGATTCGTGCTCGAATTTAACCTCTATCGCAGTTCTAAAAAAAACAAAAAAAACAAAACAAAAAAAACAATAGTTTCATGCCTCACCTCTAAAATGCACGTTGGTGAAATGCATTGGAAATCATATCAGGGGGGGGGGGGGAGAGGGGGAGGGGGAGGGGGAGGGGGGGACATAATAGGAAAACATTAGGTATGTGTAAGAGCTCAATGAACTATTTATGTGATTATGATCAAGAATATTGAGCAACTCTCTCTCGAGAGAGAGAGAGAGAGGGCTTGGGCGCCAGCTATAAATTTTACATACCACACCCATACGACATACATGCATGCAGGGATGTTCATTATAGCGTTCAAATTGAGCAGAATTAGGGTACCCTACCCAGTGGTCAGATATCCTTATGATTAGTGTGTCCCCCCTACCCCCGTTTGTCAATACACAATGTGTGCACCATCTCCGGAGGGGTAATTATTTTCAAAGCTCTTTGGAAGCTCAGAAAGGAGCCAAGAAAAAAAAAATCGCTTATTGATAAAAAACGGCATTATCGTGGAATTCGCAGTTTTGAACAGGGCTAATGTGACAATAATATTCCGGTTTTATAAAGCGCTCAATTCATCGATACAACAAGGTCTCAAAGCGCTTTACAGATACATGTACGCCCCCTAAATACAAACAAAAATATGAATGTTATTATTTGAGTTAAACCACAAAGGCTTTCAGCTTTTCCCCAGGTCCTTATTTTGTCTCCAAGGTACAACAGAGAAAAGACGGTCGGTGAGGAAACTGGCACAACAATGGGACGCCATCAGTACATTGAACCATGGCAGACCGGCGCGCCACTGACTCAGGGCGCGTTTATGCTTCACTTTAGAAGGTAGAATGAGCGATTTGTAACGCTCATCGTAAACGCTCATCGTAATCGCAGTTCCACGGTGTACTGTTCATGCTCACTTCTCTGGCTCCTACAGGCAATTCTCCGTGTGTGGCCTTAATTGGTATTCCAGCTGGATTCGCAAACCTTCACTGTGCATGCTACGTAGACCCACTAGAGGTCAGTGCGTTGACCCCATTTAAACGCGTTTACAAATTGTAAACGCATCTTTTTGTGAGTTTACGATCGGCGATCGTGATCGCCGTTTTTCGGTGATTCTACAAAAGTGAGCATGGACGCAACGGTGTTTTAAACTAAACGCGTAACAGAATTATGCCTGATTCTGGCCAGAAAAAGTGAAGCATAAACACGCCCTTACACACTCACAACCCCACGACACCTTCTTGTAATAAAAGGTAATCATGTATGATTATTTGTTTTGATACGGGAACTTATTTCTGACTCATGTTCCCATGAAGTAAGTTAATATTGCCTTTATCTCAATCAAGAGTTTTAACCTTACAAAATGCCCGTTGCACAATCAGGGAGACGTCATTTCGCGTATTTGACAATAGGGACTTTTAGATTGAGTGGACGAGAACGACGTGAACGTCCACTGATCATGCGGAAAGCAGTTTTAACATTTATTCCTATTTCTTGATATAAAACAAACAAAAAATGGTCTATCAAAAATCAAGAAATGATTTTCTGTTGTAAAGCAGTGGTAATTCTTGATATCAAGAAATAATCCCTAATGTTACCCTCACAGTCATGATACGTCAAAGTCTATGTCAGTCGGCCATACGGTAATTGCACTAATCACTCCTTTCCCTTTTTTTTCTGTGTGTGTGTGTCTCTCTCTCTTTCTCTCTCTCTCTCTGTGTCTATGGGCGCGTTCATGCTTGATTTTGACGGCCAGAATCAGGCATCTGTTACGCGTTTAGTTTAAAACACGCTTGCGTTCATGCTCACTTTTGTAGAATCACCGAAAAACGGCGATCACGATCGCCGATCGTAAACTCACAAAAAGATGCGTTTACAATTTGTAAACGCGTTTAAATGGGGTCAACGCACTGACCTCTAGTGGGTCTACGTAGCATGCGCACACAGGTTTGCGAATCCAGCTGAAGGCCACCCAAGGAGAATTGCCTGGAGAAGTGAGCAGGAACAGTGCACCGTGGAACTGCGATTACGATGAGCGTTTACGATGAGCGTTACAAATCGCTCATTCTGCCTTCAAAATCAAGCATGAACGCGCCCTATGTCTCTATCTCCTCTATCTCACACTCTGCCTCTCTGCCTCTTTTTTCTCTTTCTCTCTCTCTCTCTCTCACACATACTTTCTCTGTGTAATAACATTCCAAATATAGTCATCGCACTCCCGATTGCAGTATCCTATTCAAAACCACGCGAAGCTTTTATATTTTCTGGCATTATTTTTGTGTCGAGGGTAGGTCTTCACAATCACGATAACAACACAAAACCTAAAAACAGGTGCGTTAGTTGAAAACATATTTCTAATCGAAGTTAGGAGCGTATAGGCGTAGGCGTGAAGTGCTGAAAAACAGCACGTTTTATACTCATCCAATCATTCGCTGCAAGGGGGGGTCGTATGTCTGTAGGAGGAGCCAGCTCTCATATACATACTTTAAAAAGGAGCCAGTTCTCTTTTTGAGGCACATAGCGCTGGATATACCACTGGTGTAATTAGCCATTCTACTGCAGTTCGAAAACCTGGATGAAACCGTCATCGTTAACGATGGAGCGAGGTCGTTTGATTCTCATCATACTTTGTGTCACAATCTTACTGGTGGCCATCGTCGTCGCCATTGCCGTCCCCTTGTCGTTGAACAACAACAACAAAAGCAAGAGGGCTTCGGATCTCGCCAGGCAGTACATGAGGGATGTGCCTTTGATAGACGGGTACGTTGGTCAAACTTTGTTTTTGAAGTCTGATAGGAATTTTCGCCCTTTTCCCGATATCTGGTCATCTTTCCTCTTTCCCATAGTTAATACGGGCCCCGCCCCCCGCCCCCGTCTTCGTCATTTTCCCCCTTTCCTTTCCCCACCACTTTCCCAACTTTCCCTCTCACACACACACGTTCTTCAAGTTCTCTCTCCCCCTCTCTTTCTCTCTCTCTCTCTCTCTCTCTCTCTTTCTTCTAGCTCTCTCTCTCTCTCTCTCTCTTCTTCGTTTTCTTCTCCCCTATCTCGATATCTATATATCTATTATGTATCTCTCACTCTCTTTCCTCTATGGCTGCAGGTTTTGCGCTATCCGATTATTATTTTATTATTATTACGATAATAATTAACTTTCGTAAACACTATGAAAGAGCTGGATATGCGTTTATTTTCATCCCAAGGACAATTTTTGATACAGTTTTGTCTTGAAACTGGACCGGAATCGTTTGCATTTGTTTCACCCAAAGCACGAAAATCTAAGTACCGGCCCACTTTGTTTGATTTTATTTCTGGATTTTCAACATGATATAAAGTAATATACAAACTAGATACATATATATATTACTAAAAAAGTTACGATAAATAAATAATCATGTCATGATATAAATAAATTAATAATTATACCTTTAACAAAACACATAGTTGACAAATCATTTCAAAATTGAAAAATGCAGGAGACAGCCATCTTAAGCTAGAGCTTAAAAGGAACATTATGTGCGACCAAACCTATAATCATATAATTGTAAATAAATTAATGATAACAGCCACATAATAAAGGAAAAATTATATTCAGGTATAACATGAAATGCGTTAAGTGTAATTATTCATATTATGTAAGTGTATGTCTTCTGTGAAACGGTTTTAATTATGTTCTTTTTTAATGTGTTAATGTGTGTGTGCGAGTGCTTGTGTTTGGAGCGCTTATTAAATTATGATTTGTATGCTGATAATAAATTACGCTTCATGGCGGCCTTGAAAGAATGTGTCGTAGTACATGATTTAACATGTAATTTAATAGTTATTGAAAGGCATACTTCTGTCCCTCCATTTTGATTATCATTATTATCAATAAACGTATAGCAAATCTGGAATTATATAGCGTTTAATACAGAATACCATATCTAAGCGTTTTACAGATATTATTATTACCCCGGTCATCAGATTCATTCACGCACGCAGTGTGCAAAATTTCCACTCCCTGTGAGTATTCCTACCATAATTATGGTCACCGTGAGGGCCGGCATATGGATATTTCTACCACAAAGGCTTTCGACGTCCCCATTTCTCTCCTGTCTATGGAGTGGCAAATATAGATTAGTGTCTTGCCAAAGGAGATTAGTGTCATGTCGGGGATCGAACCCACGACATTTATATTTCCAATCGAGTGCCTTAGGGCATGTTTATGCTTAACTTTTTCTGGCCAGAATCAGGCATCTGTTACGCGTTTAGTTTAAAACACGGTTGCGTCCATGCTCACTTTTGTAGAATCACCGAAAAACGGCGATCACGATCGCCGATCGTAAACTCACAAAAAGATGCGTTTACAATTTGTAAACGCGTTTAAATGGGGTCAACGCACTGACCTCTAGTGGGTCTACGTAGCATGCACAGTGAAGGTTTGCGAATCCAGCTGGAAGACCAATTAAGGCCACACAGGGAGAATTGCCTGGAGGAGCCTGAGAAGTGAGCATAAACAGTACACCGTGGAACTGCGATTACGATGAGCGTTTACGATGAGCGTTACAAATCGCTCATTCTGCCTTCAAAATTTAAGCTTAAACGCACCCTTGCTTAAACCTTGCTAAACAAAGGTACTACTATTGCACTTTTTTCACGTAGGAACATTAAACAAAAATTGTTTTGACTTCTTGAACTTTCCGAGGGACGGGGGCTTCCCATTGTTGCTTGGGCTGGGGAAAAAGTAAGATCTGGCTATAGTGATCAGGCTCTATTATTTTAAATCAAATATAACTTGTTTTTCTTCACACACACAGACACACAAACCTTATTCATTGGCCGTGAAGTCTAGCCAGTATTAAGCAGCAATACAAAATGAATGTCATGCCTGATTATGTTTGACATTAAATAGACTAGAATGTTGTGTCCTTCTCACCTCTTGGGAGTCGATTGCAATTAAAAGCAGATATTGATACAGAACTTCTGCATCGTATCAAGTCAGCGGCAGCAGCCTTTGGAAAGTTAAAAGGGGGGGGGGGGGGTCTTCAATAACCGAAGTGTAGGCACAGGCACCAAAATCATGGTCTAGAAGAAGATTGTTCACCCTATTTTTCTGGATAGTTCTGAAACCTAGCTGGACCACTTTCAAGGCTCTTAAAGAGTTCCACCAAAGGTTCCTGAGACAGTTTCACCCCTCCAAGTTCGAGAAGGGACAGACAAACAACATTGTCCTTAACCCTAATAAGGCCGGGCTATTCGAGGTCTTAGTATGGCCGGGGGGGGGGGCCATTATGGCCCCCCCTTAAGATCTCGGCCGCGAAGCGGCCGATCGCCGCGAAAATTTGCACGCATATCAAGTGAAGTGTATAGAATAATATGATAATTTCAATTTTTGAAAAATTCACTCATTTGCATATTTATGGTAATTTATGCAAATAAAGTCATAAAAATCACATTTTTACCCATAAATCATATATTATTCATATTTAAGCATTCTTTTTCACTACATATATTCATTAGACCATTCTAAATAATAATATGACAAAAAATTTTGGAAGACCAGCTTATTTCTTATGTTATCCCTTGTTTTGATAATTTCTTATGTATTTCATTGTTTTTTTAACTTATGTATTTCACTGTTTTTGTTGTTTTATTTCATTTCTTACTGCAATTCAACTATATTGACTCCCAAAACAACCACCTAAACTTTAAACAAGACCCAATAACCCATGTTTGATCTGTTTTTAGGAAAAATGACTTTTCCATATGTTTTGTACACAAATCACGAAAATGAGCGATTTTCGGGCTGACATGCAATGACAAAAGGTCACGTGACCTTCTAACCGTAGGTCCGATTTTCAAAAAAATTCTTTTAAAAGTTGCGCAAGACTCGAAAGAAAAAAGTCAGCGAGCGGCGGGGCGCCATCCATATGCGTTCCCGAGCAATCGGAAAAATCCTGGAGGGGGGGGGGGGCATAATGGCCCCCCCCGGCCTTATTAGGGTTAAGGAGGCTATAACATGACAAGTATAGATCTAGAAGTCATGTTTGTTAAAGCCTCACCGCACTAGTTTGGCCAGGAAGGTTTCGAACTCCCAGTATGGTCACTGAAAGGTGATTATCTCATCAAATCATCTCTCAATTAACATAAGAAAAAGGGCATAGGCTATATAGAGGGCGCAATTAGCTATAAGTAGTGCAGTGGGGCTTTAAAACAGCTGCATTTGACAGGACGTACCCTCAGAATGCGGTCTACCCAAGCAGATTTTGTTTGGAAACCGTATGAGGGAATGCGGTCTAGAGGAGGACAGTGAAAACGTTACATGGACACTGGCCAATCTCAGGAAATGTTGCATCAACATGAGCATTGGCGTATAGAGGGGGGGGGGGGGGGGGGGGGAGGGGGGAGAGTGGTGTTTTGGGTGTTCAAACAACCCCCTTGGCAAACAGGGGATGTTTTAGGTGTTCAAACAGCCCCCCCCCCTCCGCAAAAGGGGGGGGGATGTATTTTCGAATTTTAAAGAATACCTTTATCCGTGTTATATCTATGCCCCCCCCCCCCCCAGCTCAAGGGGGGGGGGGTATGGAATGAGTGTTTATTTCCCCTCCCCGCTTATTCGCCAGCTGGCTGGACATATGGACATATTTTCTCACGAATTGGGCAAAAAACACCTTAAAAATCCTGGCTACACCCTTGAACACGAGTATACCCAGGAGTCCCTTGTTCAGCTACGTTGTGGTGATAGACTGTGCTCTTTAATCATCATAGAACCAGGGAGGTCCCTGGTAGAACCCTGGAATGTGCTTCACAGTTCAATCATTCCGAAACAATATTTCAAACAGGTAGAGAGTAAACACACATGAATGGCCCGATACACATACTCCCAAATCAAATGTAACGCCAGAGTTTTTCTTTTGTTCTGAACTGATACGTGTTACGTATACAAGGTAAAGACATTCAACCATGATACCCTTTGCCAAACCGACCGGCTTTCTGAGATGACAATGAACTTTCGAAAAGGAAAAACACGCACCCAACTTTGCCAAGTTTTGGGCAGTGTTAGATAAACAATATAGAGTTACAGCTGAAGTTATAATAGACAACAGGCGTCTATCATCTGGAGCTCATCAAATAGTATCTGCATGGATTTTTGACTATTTCCCCATTGCAGTGTGCCCTTACGGTGGTTACGTTGGCTGTTACAGGCCGAACAGGATGATTTATTAATTTCCCAGGGCTGCGTCAGCGACTGTCGCAGTCTTTGACGTACCATGTGAGAATGAAATTGTACGAAAGTGAATGCATGATAAACAGTACCAATAATCTGAGTTAATGAAACCCTAAGTCCTAATTTTCTTGATAGGCTTGATTGGCGAAGGCAACGACGCAGTGCATTAACGCCTCGTGTGCAACGCTATTAGGGCAAGGTTTTGATACGTCCTAATCCAAAAATCTGTACATTTTACTCGAAAAAAAAGTTGATGCGTGTGAACGCGCCAATAAAGGAAACGTTGCAAACGACTTGTTGAGTTCTTATTTCTCTTTATTTATGTTCTTTTCGTAACAAGTCATCTTCATTTAGCGATTCAGCAATCCAATTAGCGAATCATCATCTTCAGCAATCCAATTAGCGGTTCACTGTAAACAACAAAGTAACAAAGCATTATAAACATATGCATCATATAAACAGAATTAAATGCATGTAACCCTGTCTACATTACAGTGAATCTTGTAAATACTCTTGACATATAAACGTGATGTTTATATACGAAATAAACTCCAAAAGGAATGTAACTATCCAGCTATACAGTATATTCATTTATGTCTCTGTTTGATATATATATCTTCATAAATTCCTGTGCTTAGAATGTGCCTGTAAATGCACGGTGTTCTACAGATACGGCTTCATAATGCCCCCTTAACTAAGCAATTACAAAGTAGTCTATGTGATTCCAGACCCTATACAACTGACATCAATAATATTCCCTCAGAAACGGTTCTACACACTCCTTATAATGGTAATTAACCTCTTTTAACTCTTACAAGCTGTGCAAGTCATTATAACATATATACTAATTAAATCATGCACCATCTTAGAGCTTGTTTATATGAATAAACCCCTTTATGCACGACACATACCTGGGTGCAATGCGTTTCATAGCCCCATAGCAACACATAGGCTTCTGTACATAACGTTGCGTTAATCATCCAAAATCAACTCACTATTTGCACATAATTCACAGGAAATGAACAATAGTATGAAACAACTAGTTTCATATATTTGACAGTAAATCAGTTATCTACAGTAATCATGTATCGTAGCTTACCAACTATTTGTTCATCCGGAGCAAAGTCATGAATTCTATGGTAACAAACATCAAGTCTGATGCCTTTGACTAGGCTTTCTGTTGCACAAATTTTCTTAACGCCGCAGATGGCGCTATACAAGTTTCGCGCCGCTACATTCCGGCCCCAAATGAGTTACCTATCCTTAAATCATTTTCTACATTACCATAAAGCGGCATGCATTAAACTATGAATGAATTACAGTAACATTTGGTATGCATTAACGCAATGACGATACCTGTAAAATATCTGAAAGCAAAAACAAACATCCATTTAACTTTCACAAATCTTGTCAAAACTGTTTGCATAAACAATTCAAACTGTGACATACATGCAAGTTAGAAATGTTAGAAATTCTTTGAACAATAACATATAAATGTTTCACATCATATATAACAACCTTCGTTGTGTTTAGGAAGAAGCCTCGACATTGGCTTCCAAGAGGCACAGCTTTGAAATTGGCCTCTTGTAATATCGAGGCACTACTCGAACCTCTACTTGTCTTACAAGGCCACGCTTGTCTGGATAGGTCGTTAACACTCTTCCGATGGGCCACTGTCCACGAGGGGTACTTTCGTTGACCACTAGAACCAGATCGTCGACTTCAAAGTTTCTGTTTGGTCTAGTCCATTTCTGACGTTGCTGCAACAGGGGTAAGTATTCCTTGACCCATCGGGTCCAAAACTGCCCTGCTAGGTACTGGACTTGGCGCCAGTGTCTCCGTAGATGGCAGTCTTCTTTCACAAAGATCCCTGGTGGCAGACTTGGGTTCTTACGAAGCAACAACAAATGATTCGGGGTCAATGGCTCATCATCTCTGGAGTCCATGCTCAGGTGAGTAAGAGGCCTTCCATTCAATATTGCCTCTACTTCTGTGAAGAGGGTAAGTAGCGCTTCGTCTGTAAGCGTCTGCTGTGGGAGACTGGTCAAGATTTTCCTCACTGACCGTATGATCCTCTCCCATACACCTCCCATGTGGCTTGCTCCTGGCGGGTTGAAGTGCCATGTAATGCCCTTCTGTGTGAGGTATCGGTTCACTCTCTCGGAATTCAACCCTGCAAGAGCATCCTTTAGCTCCTTCTGACCCCCCTTGAAATTGGTGCCATTGTCACTGAATATAGCCTTGGGTTGACCTCTACGGTTGATGAAGCGACGCAGTGTTTGTATGAATGAGTCAGTCTCCAAGCTATAAGCCATCTCAAGATGCACTGCCCTGGTAGATAAACATGTAAAGATACATCCATACCTCTTCTGTGTACTGCGACCATGCTTCGTCGGGAATGGGCCAAAGTAATCAAGCCCTGTATTCGTAAAAGGTGGTTCTCCCGGAGTAACTCTCTCTTCCGGCAAATCAGCCATGAATTGCTGGCCTCTTGAAGCATTACGCTTCCTGCATTTGAAGCAGTTACCTATGGTGTGACGGACTGTAGCACCTCCCTTGTTGATCCAAAATCTTTCTCTGAGAGAGGTCCATGTCGAACCCATACCACAGTGTCCAACCTTCTGATGATGATGAACCACTAGAAGCTTGGTAACGTGGTGATCGTTGGGAAGAATCATTGGATGTTTCTCGTCATTCAGAATAGGAGCCTTGCTTAATCTCCCTCCTACTCGTAGCAGTCCGTCAACCATGACAGGATTCAGCTTCTCAAGGGGATTTCCTTGTTTCCTGGTTTTCTTCTCTATCCCCTTCACGTACTCATCAGGAAATGAGTGTCTCTGTACGTGTTTGATCACTTCGACCTCTGCATTGTTCAATTCCTGAACTGTCAAGCTTCCTCTTTCTGCCAAGTTGCCCGTTCCTTTGGACCGCAAGTATTGCTTGTACCGTAGTAGCCATGCAATTCCTCGCTTCAGACGATCCCATGATGAGTACCTTGTCATTAGATCATCTATCTCGTCATGTGAGCTGGTAGCGTAGACATGAGTTTTCTTCACCTCACTGTCATTCTGAAGATCAAGTTCTGGTACATCTTCCTTCTTCAAACTTGCTGGATCTTCCGGCCAGACTTCCTTTTCTTGTAACAAGAACTCAGGTCCTGTAAGCCATCTATCCAGGCTTCTTGCAGGGATACCCTGTGAACCATCATCTGCTGAGTTCCTGAGGGTGTCGACATCTTCTACTGATTCACCAACTCTTTCATCTCCTGGACCAGAGTCCATCTCCCAAAACCGCTTCACTTGATTTTGAAGCTCCTCAGCTGAGATGTGGTGAATTTCGTACGAGTTTCTGTGACTTGAGCTTGATGCAGGTCCAATAAACGTCCACCCCAAAGGCGTTCTGATCGCATAGGGATCTTTCTTTTGACCCCTCCTTTCTTCTTCTACCCAGAATGCTTCTGGGGTGTCGCCTCCTATCAGGAGCTGAACCTTTGCTTGGCCTGCTGTCACTAGTTGAATGCCCTGAAGATGAGGCCACTTATCGACATCTTCCTGACATGGTATACTTCTGGACGATATGGGTAGAACATCAACAGTCCACATCCTGTCCACATCGATCTTAGTGTCTTCTTGCAAGCCTTGAATGGTCATGCTAACTTCCATTCCTTTCCTTGGAGTGTTCATTCCATTGATTGTAGTCAACCTGAATTCCTTGTTGACTCCGACAATTCCCAGTTCCTCTGCAAGTCTCTTTTCACAAAGGGACGTATCGCTTCCTTCATCAAGCAGTGCCCAAGTCGTAACCTCCTTGGCTCCATGACGCACCTTCCAGGCGCGGATCCAGGATTTCTTAGGGGAGGGGGCCCAACTTTTTTTTTTTTTTGCTCCCGAAAATTTGAAAATCGCGCCGGCCGAAAAGTCGCTCAGTGGGGGGGGGGGGGGGGTAGTGAGAGCACATTTTTTTTTTTTTTATCCTAAACTTTTTTATTTTTTTATTTTTATTTTTTTTTTGCTCCCGAAATTTTGAAAAACGCGCCGGCCAAAAATTCGCTCAGTGGGGGGGGGGGGGGGGGGGGGGGGGGGGGGGGTAGTGAGCACATTTTTTTTTTTGAGCCTCAAAAAAAATTCAATTTGCACCCCCCCTTGAGCGCCAGGGGGGGGGGCCCAACCCCCAAAAAAGGTAAAAATCACGTGATTTTACATGATTTTTTTCTCAAGGGGGGGGGCCCGGGGGGCCGGGCCCCCCCCCTGGATCCGCCACTGGCACCTTCACAGGAAGTACTCTTAAGCGTACATCAGCTCTTCCTCTAATTGTATGGCATTCCACACCAGTTGTCACCCCGGCCCCGTTCTGCTGACTTGGGCTATCTTCATTGTTCTCCTGGTTGGGGCTTTCCTTCCTTTCAAAGTGCAACCATGTGTGGTGTTTCCATTTTTGACTGCATCCTTCTTTCTTACAGGTCGAGTCTGAGGGACAGTTCCTTGCTAGGTGTGCCTTCTTAAGGCAATTAAAACAGATGCCACTCTTCTTAAGGAAGATAAATCTCTCCTTCTGAGGCAAGTCCCTTAGCTTGAAACAGGTTTCCAACTGGTGCTCCTTCTTGCAGCATGGACATTCTTCCTTTCTGTTATTAGGCCTGTCAATTCCTCCTTCCATTGCAAAGGATGAAGCTCTGCCTCCCACGCTCCCTTTCTGTCGCTTTGCACTTGAACTTGACTTGAATGACTGTCCGATATTCTTCCCGAACACGTTGCTTGCTATCTTAGCCTCCTGTTCGATAAAGTCTGTCATGTGGCTAAAGTTGGGAATTACAGACTGCTCCATGGCTACGTGAGCCTTAGATGCCCACCTGGCTTGTAGGTGAACAGGCAGAAGGCTCTGTATCTTAAGCAGTGTGTCCGTTGAGCTCATGTCCGCTGAATAACCCATCTGTGATGTGGACATTTGACATCTCCTCATATCTCTGGCCAGATCCCATAAGGCCTGACTGTCACTTGGGCGCAGGTTGGCTCGGCAGATCACCTTATCGACGTGTGCCTTCGCTACTATGTAGTTCTGTCCGAATTGATCTTGTAGGATGCTGCGAGCTCTTGAATATCCAGTATCGGGATGTAACAAAATACAATTCTCTATAGCCTCCCTTGCCTTGCCTGTACAAAATTGTATTAAATAGGTTAGTCGCATCCTGTTATCTTGCACCTTGTGCTCAATGTTAACATCAAAACAATTACAAAAGCTCCAATAATCAATAGGGTTACCGGAAAAACAAGTCATATCAGGTTTGGGCAGGTGCATTGCCATCATCATCTCTGACAAATTATGTTCTACAGAATTTACATTCTTATTACATGTATATGCATTTGGCATTGTATGTTCACCCAACACTCTTTGGGAAGTAACATCCTGATTCTCATTACAAATATCTACCGGTACAACATTCCCTGTACACCATTCAGCAGTTCTTCGCTGAGTTTGACCTTCTGGAATTTGTAACAGTTCTTGTGGCTTTATTTCATGTTCTTGCCACAATTTTGCTTCAGCTTCGGCGTTCTCAAGTTCATTTTCAATCTTGAGTCTATCAAGTTTTTCGTTGAGTTCAAACTGTTCTCGTTTTAGTTTATGTTCTCTCTGTAGCTGTACTACCTTCATCCTAGCAAGCTGTCGCTTCACCTCGGCTTCTCTCATCTTCACGCTTGAGGAGATGCTCGCCCTGGAGGCCATCGATTTCACTTCAGCGTCCCTGGATGCTCTGGTTTCACTCCTTGCCGTTGCATCCCCGTCAACGCCGTTCTTTGGCTCTCCAGCTTCCGACCCCTCATGCTGGTTGCTTGCTTGGACCTTCTCCGACATCTAGAACAAGTTGTGAACTTTTGTGTGAACGCGCCAATAAAGGAAACGTTGCAAACGACTTGTTGAGTTCTTATTTCTCTTTATTTATGTTCTTTTCGTAACAAGTCATCTTCATTTAGCGATTCAGCAATCCAATTAGCGAATCATCATCTTCAGCAATCCAATTAGCGGTTCACTGTAAACAACAAAGTAACAAAGCATTATAAACATATGCATCATATAAACAGAATTAAATGCATGTAACCCTGTCTACATTACAGTGAATCTTGTAAATACTCTTGACATATAAACGTGATGTTTATATACGAAATAAACTCCAAAAGGAATGTAACTATCCAGCTATACAGTATATTCATTTATGTCTCTGTTTGATATATATATCTTCATAAATTCCTGTGCTTAGAATGTGCCTGTAAATGCACGGTGTTCTACAGATACGGCTTCATAATGCCCCCTTAACTAAGCAATTACAAAGTAGTCTATGTGATTCCAGACCCTATACAACTGACATCAATAATATTCCCTCAGAAACGGTTCTACACACTCCTTATAATGGTAATTAACCTCTTTTAACTCTTACAAGCTGTGCAAGTCATTATAACATATATACTAATTAAATCATGCACCATCTTAGAGCTTGTTTATATGAATAAACCCCTTTATGCACGACACATACCTGGGTGCAATGCGTTTCATAGCCCCATAGCAACACATAGGCTTCTGTACATAACGTTGCGTTAATCATCCAAAATCAACTCACTATTTGCACATAATTCACAGGAAATGAACAATAGTATGAAACAACTAGTTTCATATATTTGACAGTAAATCAGTTATCTACAGTAATCATGTATCGTAGCTTACCAACTATTTGTTCATCCGGAGCAAAGTCATGAATTCTATGGTAACAAACATCAAGTCTGATGCCTTTGACTAGGCTTTCTGTTGCACAAATTTTCTTAACGCCGCAGATGGCGCTATACAAGTTTCGCGCCGCTACAATGCGTTTTAATTCGATTTCGATCTGATTGGTTGATGCTCTGCCGCCTATTTGGCAACTGCACACAAGTCGTCAGATGTTATAACGTCATTTATGACAAGGTCAAGGACCTTCCGGGACATTCAGGCACTGACGCAGCCTCTGAATATATAGACACATCTTCTCGCCTCATTGGGGTTAGGACCCAACGCAGTATTATCATTGGTTTGTCTGTATAAAGAAATACGAACAGTCCACTCTTCCGTCAATACTGCTTTGTGAAACACATCTGAAACTTTGATAGCGCAAGGCCCTTGTACCCGATGTCTTCAATTGACACAAACAAAAAATGACACCTCATTGGCAGGCGGTAAAACTGGCAATAACCCATGGTATTCAATTTGTTTTGTTTTATTTCTACTTGACGCAGGCACAACGATTTACCATGGCAGTTGGTGCTGTACGTCGACAACAAGCTGCAAGAAATCGACCTCAATGTGCGTCCAAACTTTAATATTACCCATACCGATATACCCAGGCTGAGGGCAGGTTTGGTCGGAGCACAGGTAAGCACGACAGGGGCGAAGCTAGATTTTTTGAGGGGGAAGGGGGGGGGGGGGGGGGGGGGGGCACGGGTATCATCACTTTATGTGTATCGGGATGGAAGTTATCGGATTTCCCCCTTTATTTTGTGAGGAAGCGCGTTAAATCATAACACTTGGATCTCATATTCTGTGACCGAGTCAGCGGGTGTAGCGACCAAACGAAAAAAAAAATGCATTTAGCATCAAGTTATTGGTAGCTCTTTTCAGTCTTGGAATTATACCCAGTCCTAATATTTTTAAATAGGATAAGAACAACGTTAACATTAACATTATTTATTACGATCCTCATCCACCCCGTTACCCTCCTGTGGGCGAGCACCGTCATTGGTGCTCCTATGTGAGGTCCTAGGTTCAAACCTTGTTCGGGCTTAGATCCTTGGACAAGGTACACAATTAGAATGAGTGTACCTGGTAATACTGGGATGATAGTAATACCAGGACATTCAGGAAGAAACGTATCAGTCAATAATGATGTGGTTACCGTGGGTAAAAAGGCCCAAAACAATAAATATTATTATATTTCTATCATCGTAATTTTGTCTTTCACAGTTTTGGGCCGCCTATACGTACTGCGACTCACAGTACAAGGACTCCATCCGAAACGTCCTCACCCAAATAGATGTTATCAAGCGAATGGTGGAGAGGTACCCAGAAACGTTCGATTTAGTCACAACTGCACAAGGTGAGACAGTAGTTTTGAATCAGGGGGTCGCTAAACGGGGTTGTGAGGATGATGGGACACCCCCGCGCTGGTAATTATTTTAATCACGGCAGCAAGTTTGAGGTTTGTTGGCCTTATTGGTTAAATCGCGAAATTCACGACTTCTTCCATTGCTTGTTTAAAAAGGATTGCCTATCTTGTCTTCAAATTTGGTTTGACAACCCCCCCCCCCCCCCTCTATAAAGAATAATCTAGTGACGCCTCTGAGTGGAATAGCATGTTTCTAAGATGTATGGCTGTTGACCTGCTACCTGCTACTTGCTATTTGAGCAAAACTTATCACTACGTACTCAGGTAATTAAACCGGGTATACCAGGTACACTATAGCAACACCAGGGGGGTGTTTCACAAAGATCCTAAGTAGAACTTAACTCTAAGTTGGACTTAAAAATTATGGACAGCCATTGGAGTCTTAAAATGAAATATATTCAAAAGCAGAAATTCAAGTATTTTAGACTTTTTATAAATTCAACATCCAGAACATGAAATCTCCTTGATGATAGACAATATGAATGATTTGAATAAACAATTAATGCCTTTCAAAATAACTTTTACAAAATATTTTCAAAGATGCTAATGGCTTTCCATAATTTTTAAGTCCAACTTAGTGTTAAGTTCTACTTAGGATCTTTGTGAAACACCCCCCAGGTATACGTACCCTATAAAAGGTACCTTCCCTTACAAAAAAAGTACCATGGTAACCATGGTTTTTTGGTTCAAATTACCATCCACCATGGTACCAAAACAATACATTGTTTGATGACCTAATGTGTTTCATTGTTTTGGTACCATGATAACCATGGTTACCATGGTGGATGGTAATTTGGACAAAAAAAACATGGTTACCATGGTACTTTTTTGTAAGGGTTGTTACACCTGCTACAAGAGGTGCAACGGGTATATTTAGGTACCCTGGTATATTTGGTACACTGGCACACCCTGAACACGAGGAACATCGGATACAGTGTATATATATATATATATATATATACCAAGTAGGGCGTGTATACCAACGGGCACCCCAGGTACCCAGATAATATCTGTATTTACTTATTTTCCTATCACCGTGTAGGAATTGAAGATTCGTTCGCCAACGGGAAGATTGCCTCTCTCATCGGTGTCGAAGGGGGTCAGAACATCGATAGCAGCCTTGCAGTACTGCGCATGCTCTATGACCTTGGGACCAGATACATGACCGTCACCCATAGCTGTAATACACCTTGGTAAGCCTTCCGTCGCTCCCTCCGATTTATCAATTAGTGGATACGCCTGTGATGTAACAATGCCACCGATTCGGGAGTGGGGGGGGGGGGTGCTCTTATCTTATTTTGTTTTACATTTATTTCCTTCACCCCCCCCCCCTCTCTCTCTCTCTCTCTCTCTCTCTCTCTCTTTTCTGCCAATCAAAGGTGCTGGGGGGGGGGGGGGGAGGGAGTGTGTGTGCGGGGGCACGTCCCCCTTGTACCATTACTACGGTATATGTTTCCGTGTGTGTGTGCGCGGAATGATTGTCTATGTCTATCTCTCCGTCTTTCTGTATTTTGTTTGAGTATCAGTTTTTCATCAATATATTTACGATAACATGTATGTACATCCACATCTAGGGCTGATAACTGGAAAGAAGATTATGAGACCGCTGGCGAACATGACGGACTCACTGACTTCGGCAAGGTACGTACGTTAAGAGGGAACTTGATGTGATATTATAGTCATGATAATTGAGTTCCACGCACTTTTACCATAAATAGGCAAAAAATAAGACTGGAAGGGAAGATAGATGTATAGAGAGATAGATAGAGAGATAAAGAGAGTGGGGAAGCGAACGGGACAGGCAGACAAAGAGGGGGGGGGGGAGAGGAAAGAGTGAGGGGAAGAGTGAAAGGAGTGGGATGGAGGGACATCGTAGATGCTGAGAGAAAGTTAGAAGGGCAGAGAGAACAATTTTGAGAGAGATAAAGAGAGAGAGAGAGAGAGAGGTGAGATTTGAGTTTTGTTAATAATCAAATTTTCAAAACAAAGCAAGAATACACACTTTTGATGATGTATTAAATATATGTATGTATCGATCTATCTACCGTTTTATCTGTCTAATATATCGACATTTTATCTCGATATCAGTCTATTTGTCTGTACTCTGGATTTTAGTCTACTGTCTATAGAAGTCCTTCAATCTTTTATGTACTTGACTGCCGATCTGTCTGTATGTATTATATATCTACGTATGTACCTATCACTTACACAGAATGTTGTTCGTGAGATGAACCGTCTTGGCATGCTCGTCGACCTGTCGCACGTTTCCGTGGCGACGATGAACGACGCCCTCGACGTAGCCGTGGCACCCGTCATCTTCAGCCACACCTCGGCATACGCACTATGCAACCACTACAGAAACGCTCCAGACAGTGTCCTCAGGAGAGTGGTATGCGCCAATACATTCGTATTCGTATTCCTGTTGCATACGTGGCGTTATTTAGATTGCGTCATTACTTGCGCTAATCGAGTCTGTGAGCGCATACGTTAGTAATTCAACGCAATGTTTGCTGTGTTCATTTTGCATTAACTTTGTGTTTGATGTAACTCTCACACGGAACGTCAATGACTGTGCTAATCGCATACGTGGTTCTACGCCGGGCAAATAGGGACTTTTAGATTTGCGTGGACTGATACGTGTGACGTCCATTCAAGGCAGTCCATTAAAAGGACGTCGATCGTAGCAATCCACGTTGTCGTTGTGCAAATCTAAAAGTCCCTAATAACGCCTCGTGTGCAACCCGCACTAATCTTGACATTTTGGGAAGACGGGTGATGCAACTTTCACGGAACCCAAACTAAACTAAATGAATGTCCATAGTTGCAAGAATTTTGATATGTGTGATATGAAATTGATAGAAAAGGTGTAATAACTGAGTTAGGAGCGAATGAAATATGAAAAGTGAGCTAGTAGACTCATTCTAGAATGACTATGTAGTCCCACATGTGCATAAATGTAATATAAAATCAGCTAGTTCATAAAACATAAGTCCATTTCTTCTACGCCACGTCTTTAAAACGGCCGCTTTTTCAGTATGCAAGTTCCATTTTGATCGCTCATGTCGAAAAATGGTTACTATAAAATGAAATTGATGATACGATTATTAAAGAAAATATCAAATCAAATTTACCTCATAATTAAGGTCGATACGATGAAATTAGTCAAATCTTTTTCGTGATGTCTTCGATGATTAAGCCCTTTTTTTTCTCTCTCGACATCCAATTTCATTAATAGAGTTCCCGATAGCTTCAATTTTGTACAAATTAAGTACATACAATGGAATGTATTAGTGTCAGTCAAAGCCTGTGAATAAAAGTCACTGTTAACCTTGAACATGATATGGACATCATGAATATTAGGTTGATTCTCACATGTTTTGAAAGTGGCACATGCCTCCAGACTCTCTGACAAACAAGATAAAATAAGAATTGTCCAATCTTTTAAAGATGTTTAAAACATCATAATAGGGCCCCCATAACGCTGTTCCTACAGCTCTTCTTCCGTCTTTACTTGTTACTTTCCTTATTTTTATTAGCATTATATTTAAAGTCAAATATGTAACATGAGGACAATGTTTTCGACTTTATACTTGTTTCTCTTGTGTTTTTTGCTGTTTGTGTCTTCCAGAAAGAAAACAAAGGAATTGTTATGGTGAACTTCTATACGTATTATATCAACTGTCCGCCTGGTAATGTTACAGCTGACGACACCTACGCTACCCTTGCTCAAATAGCTAGTAAGTATACTTTGTAATAAATAAAAACAAAACAGAAAGACAAAACAAAATACAGCATATAACCGACAAAAACTTAACAAAACAACGTCACATATATTATCATGCCCACATCGTTCTCCCCTTTGATAGAAGCAGGTTGAGGTCTGTAAATTCGGGGGGGGGGGGGGCACAAGAGTACATTTTGATGGGCATTATGGCAAATTTCAATCGTTTAACATAGGGACACGTTCCCTTTTTGCACTTATCATCCTTATCGTGTCTATAAGGCCCTCTACCATCTGATTCTAGTCAAGTTAGATTTGGCTCTCTTTTCGCTGTCCATTCGTTGTACAAGGTCTCACGACGCATGTCTCGATTTTGTAGTTTTTCTTTAGTAAATATATGGCTTGGAATGTTAATGCTAGAAATATCAGAATTAAACATATTTAAATCGTGATACCTGACGTAATAAATTCAGTGGTAAAAAGTAAAAAGATGAATGCCCGAGCCCCGAGGTGAAAAAAGGTCAGAGGCAAAATAAATCCAACAGATTGAAATATCACACAGAGGTTAGAAAGAAAGAGAAAAATAGATTAGCTTACAAATGTCAATCCTGCCCGATACTTATGTTCTTTAATCCATACATATTTTCCCCTTTTTCTTCTTCTTCTTCTTCTTTCGCTCTCTACCTACTCTCCTTCTCTTTACTTCTTAATACTTCTCACCTCAGCACCCCCCCTCTCTCTCTTTTCTCATTTCGCCCTCTATCATTTCTCCCTCTCTTTCCTTCTAAACCCCTCTTTCCCTCTTTCCTTCTAAACCCCTCTCTCCCTCTTTCCCACTCATTATGATGCTCACACACCTCTTCTCTTTTTCTCTGTATATTTCTGTTTTCTATTGTTCCATCAATTCATGATTTGTTTTTAAATACAATTTTTATCTTGATTCAGATCACATGGATCATATCAAAGAGGTTTGTGGATGGGAGTGCGTTGGGTTCGGAAGTGACTATGACGGCGTTGATTAGTAAGTTTCCGGGATGAAGCTGAATTATCTTGTTGCATTCAGAGTTTTTTTCAAACAAGCCCATGATGTTAATTTAAATGGAAGGATGAAGACCAACACCATCTGCTGGTCATTGACAGTTTGCCAATATTCCGAGGCGTGTTTGCCAACAAGCACGCACGCACATAAACACAAACAAGATTATTTCAATTTGCCGAAAACTTTAAAGTCGCACCACAAAGTCGCTAGTCCTAACATGAAGTATGATTTCGATCATCTTGAAACATAGGAGCTGGAATCAGGGTCACAAATACTAAACGTTCGTTGGGCCAATGTCACCAACCTAGATTTCATTTATAAATATCGCTGTATTCAATATCATGTATCGTTTTTTGTTGGTAAACAAATCAAATCAAAATCAAACCAAATCTAACAGATGAATTGTTCATGTAAAGCAAAATAATGCACATTTTCCAGCTGTGCCGCTATACTATTATACTTTGTCTATTACATAATAATATGTCAGAGTTTAGGAAGTATAACAAGATGAACTGTTTATGTAAAGCAAATGCACATTTCAAGCTATGCCGCTATCCTATTATACTTTGTCTATTACATATTAATTATAGGTCAGATTTTAGGAAGTTCGTAAGATCGTGTTTCATGTACGCTTGATAATGAAATCTAAATCAATTCAAACTGAAGAAAGAATTTTATGCACTATATTCTTTGTAAAGGAACATCAGATGATAAAGTAGTGATAATGTCTTCCGCTTCGATTATCATAATTATTGTCATTATCTCAAGTACTATTATCATGATTATTATCATTATTCTTATATTATTATCATTATCATGATATTTAGTGTTATTAAAATATCTTTATTATTACCATTATTATTATCATAGCCGTTATTTTAATCATGATTTGTACACTGATAATTATTGATACTATTATTAATATAACTTTTATTTTTATTGTACTTTTATCACAATTCAAAAAATAAAATATAATGCCTTATTAATATCATTATCATTATCACTATCATGCAGTGTCCCTGAAGGATTAGAAGACGTCTCTAAGTTCCCTGACCTGGTGACAGAACTCCTTCAGAGAAATTGGACAGAAACAGAGGTGAAGGGCGCCCTCGGAAACAACTTTCTTCGTGTGTTTAGGAAGGCGGAAGAGGTATTAAAAAAAAAATCATTAACAAAGGATAATCATTTAAGGTTAATTTTTTACTTTTTGTTTTTTTGCTTTCTGTCAAACTTTAATACAACTTACATCTACGTAACGATACAAGACAAATGTAAAATATACATCCTTTCCCATGTAAACTGTAAACATATATATATCTCTCTCGACCCAGCGGAAAAGATTATTATTACTAATAATAATAATAATAGTGGGTTCTTGTATAGCGCTCATGTCAGTCAGATTTGACCATCCTGGCACTTCCGATTATTACCCTGGCTTTAGCACGGCTGCTATGCGTCGCTCTAGCAGGTACCCATTTACTTCACCTGGGTGGAGTGTGGCAAATGTAGATCAACGTCTTGCCAAAGGACATTACCGCGGCGGCGGGAATCGAACCGCGGACCTTGTGATCGACAGTCCGGCGACGTATCCACTCGACCACAACACCTCTATGGCATGATTGTTTTCTTTCAAATTAAGTTCAGGAATATTCACCAGCTACATTGGCACCCCAAATAGACGATAGGTCTGTATGTTTCAATGCAAATATTTGGTCCATACAGAACCGTTTACCACGAAACCTGAAACTGATAATAAGATGATTTCGTCTGGACAGAGCCAGAAGGGGGTTAACTCATCAAATATTTTGTTTGGGGTGTCGTTTATCTTGTTTTATTTCGTTCTTTTCTTCTTCAGGTTAGTACGATGCTTCGTGCAACCACCGAACCTTACGACGATGTCTTCCCGAGAGAAGCCCCTAAGGAGGCTGACAATACATGCCGTACCTACATGTACGGCACATCCTTCGCGTAAAGCCAGGTACCCATTCTCCACGACCAATAGCTATGGTTTCAAGCAGGGGCGGCGATTTCTTTTCACGACCAGGGGGGGGGGGGGGGGGGGGGGCGAAATGCAAGGGACGAGGGAGCATAGTGAACGAGAGGGGCGAAGGTGACGGAAGTGACTACCCCCTTACAGGTTTTCGAAGTTTTGTTGTATTAAAAAATGATATTCCTTATATAGCAAAACTATAGTATAAAAACAAGCAATATACTTTTTTCACACTTCACTTTTACTTTACCGGTAATTAGTGAGCAGTCCGAAGTATTGTAAATATTTAGTAGGTCAATTTTAGGGAGCTTGGGTTTACATTACGTTATTGAAATACGGAACGATTGTGCTTATGTCATTATTAATTAACTTGTTATAAATTGTTATGTAAATAAATTATGAATCGGGCAGTTTCCATATTATAATTTTTACATTCTATATTTTCATATACGGTGCTGGTTGATAATGACAATGCTTACTGTTCATATAATCAGGTTGCGTTTGAAATAATCAGAATACACAGATATTGCTATATCGGGTTAGCCTCACACAATCGCCAACCAAGCTAAAAGTCTCAACGAGATTAAGATCCTTTTATGTGATTTCATTTTGTTTACACTATAGTGCGCCTTGAGCATTTGATTTCAAGTCGATTTGGGGCCTTACAGACCTCATATATTATTAGTATTTTCAAATTCTGTCAAAGAAGTTGGAATTGCTCATGCACACATACTATTATTAAAATCGGTGTTATATGGTTAAGTATGTATTCATGTTTATTAATAAATCTGGTTTAACTGGGTTTTCGTTGTTGGTCATATAGAACTGTTATGCTTTTTCTTCTTACGAATATAAAAATATTGATAAATTATCAATATTTTTATATTCGTAAGAAGAAAAATCATGTTACACGTGTATAATTTCCTTATATTTTTATGAAACTTTGTAGATTTTATCTGTTGTTCTTGTATTGGTAAAAGTGGATTCTTGCAGGCCTGTGTGAAATTTATTATGTAATGCTATGGAATACCAATAAAATACTTCATATTTCAACACTTTTTGCAGATATTTTGATTTATGATTATCCTGGTTTATAATCATGTCTAGCAAATAGTATATGGTTTGTGTAGCTTAAATCACTTTTGACAAAATGCAGTCTTTCATGGATTAAAGTTGATGAAATATAACAATTTACTAAAGTGCATTTCAAACAACTCATTTCGTATCATTTCGATGAGGGTTGATCTACAATCTGATATAAACATAACACAAAATATCTCTCATAAGAACCAAGGGGTCGTTTCTCGAAACCGTCATAAGTATAACGTCGTTGACATCCCATTGAAACGTCTTTTATTGAATTAAAAAGCTTTTCTATGAGATGTCCACAAACTTGGACTTATGACGGTTTCAAGAAACTGGCCCCAACTTCTTGCATTAATGAAAACTTCAGAATATAGGGGTAAAAGTAAAACTATGATACACCTATCTTCTTTCCTTCAATTGCTATTGAATATTTTGTACAGAAAATGGACTTTGAGTGCATTTCAATATTTGGAGGTAACGAATTGTTGTGCTACAGAGTACATAATGAAATGTGGTCTTTCGGAGGGTTTAACAGGAAAATTATAATTATTATATGAATGTCTGCCTTTTGGTTAACAAATATTTGCATTTCAGTTTCTTTGGAGTTGCATATGCATACTTTTGAATGTATGCATGCATTTCTGGGTATTATTTGGATACCGAAACGGGGGGGGGGGGGTGGGGGTCTACCGACGAAGGTCCTAAGGAGATATGTGAGCTGTATGCATTTGTGTTTTTGTGAGCATGTAGAGCAAGTAGAGCCTGGAAACCAAAGTAAAACTGACTTAATTATTAATGTAATTATGTTTTGTACTGGGACTACGGGAGGGCTGTTACTTGCCCCCCCCCCTTCGTTTCCGTGACTTCCTACATTATTCATTCAAACCAAATGGTATCGATAAGACTGTTATATACATTTCCTTAAACAAATTAACTTTGGTATCACGTTGATAACCAAATAGAGGGCCCTTTATAAGCTTCGAGGACTAAAGGCGTTAGTCCTCGAAGATTATACCAAGCTACCAAACAAACACAAGGAATATCCTCTAAACAGGCAGTGTCCATGGTAAATAAGAATAGTTGATTTTGGTAAACTATCAATGAAGCTTGAACCCTGATTGGTTCGCAGTACTGGAGTTGTGATCAAACGCAATTCTAATAGGCTCATATTGCGCATCACGTCATGAATATTCAGCAGATAACTGCGAAGCCCTGACAAATTTGCCAGTTGATCAGATTACTCGTCCTTGAGGCAAGTTGGCAAACGAGTATAGGAAACTTAAGAGCACTGGATATATACCACCGGTAGAACTCAGGCCCTAATCTGTCGCCGTTTGACGTCCTGATCGAATCCCTTATCGTCGACCATGGAGCGTAGTCGTTTGATTATCATCCTCGTAGCCGTGGGGATCTTAACGGTGGCCATCGTCGTCGCCATTGCCGTCCCCGTGTCCATGAACAACAACAAAAGCAAGAGAGCTTCGGAACTCGCCATCCAGTACATGAAGGAGGTGCCTCTGATAGACGGGTAGGTCAAAGTCGCGCTGAGAATTGGTGGGAGTTCTCGCCATCTTGTCATGTTGTTTCCGTCTGTCTCCTTTATAATTTATCTAAGTATCTTTCTCCCCCACATTAACCATCCTCCGGCCCCTCCCCTATCTCTCCTCCCCTCAGTCTTTAGCCGTCCTTACTTTTCTTCTCTTTCAAGTCTTATTTGAATTCTCCTTCAGATTCTCCATAGGTATCCGTCTCTTTTTTTTCTAATCTTTTCGTCTTAATTTTGTTTCTTCCTTTTCTTCTTCTTCTTCTTCTTTTTCTTCTTTTTCATCTTCTTCGTCTTCTTCTTCTTCTTCTTCTTCTTCTTCTTCGTCTTCTTCTTCTTCTTCTTCTTCGTCTTCTTCTTCTTCTTCTTCTTCTTCTTCTAATGTTTCATTATATTATCTTTTGAAATAAAAAACTGTCTGTATTTGTATGTTTCGTAAAATGGCAAAGCCTGGTGGTTAAACACATACGATCCTTGTCGTTTGTGAGCTCAAAGATATGGTTTCGTAAAATGGCAAAGCCTGGTAAAACTACAAATGGCGTAAATTTTAAGATCAGATATCAAGGACATTGGCTTTCTCATGAATCTAAAATTCTAGAAAGTCAATTTGCAATCAACAATTTCTCAAGTGAAAAACTACATCATCTTGAACATTAATACTAAATTGCTCATTCGAGTACATACATTTGGGACAAATCAGATCATTTCAGCATTTATACATTTTTGTTCTCAATTCAATTCAACTTATATTTCTGTTTCCAACAAAACATTACAAATCAATTATAGTCATTTACAACCATTTATACTTGCTATAAAAAGCAACGCTTGTAAAATTGTGGACCCCTCAAATGATAGTTTGGAATAATGAGTAATTAAATTAACAAATTTGTAACTACAGGTCTATACTGTCCATTTGTTCATATCTTTCTCATTATTGTCAAGTTCAAGTTTTATTTCCATTTTCAACAAGAAAAACACAAATAGTTATGTACAATAAATTAATTACATAAATTACAAACAACATTTTAGAAAGTTTACAAAAGTAATAATACAAGTGTACATGTTATTTTTTACTAGCATAACAAAAGCCATTGTTTATATAATTCATAATTGAGTTACAAGGAATTATACGATAATCATATCATACAGTCTAAATGAAGAGGAAGAAGAAACAAATGTTGCTGTATATTTATACATGCATATGTCTAATAAAGATGGAGAGGTCCACTAAAAAGCAAAGCTGGTAGAGTGTGGGCCCCTCAACAAATAATGATATTATACAAATAATACATGTTTGCGAGTGCATTATTAAATTTGCACTGCACGCATGTTAAGTCACAGTAGGATAATGAACGAGGCTTGTCGAGTTCATTGTCCGTCTCATTGTCACTTAACCAAGTGCAGTGCATATCATTAGTACACGAGCTAAAAGCATGTATTATTTTTTGTATAAGATGGGTCTATAATATGAGTATAAAGTCGAGAAATTGACGGTTGTTATCACCAAAATGCACGCCCCGTGTATATGGTAAAAGTTATTGCACGCACACGCGATCCATTACGACGCTTTTCATTTGCTACATTCTTGAACCCATTTTAATTTTTTTTAAATAACACGATAATAAAAAACAATAACAAAAACACAAGTGTTGGGTCTACGGAGACTACTGAAGAGAACAGATATCAACACAATAAGACGCAGTGTGGAAGCATAAGGGTAGAATTATAAACTACATGGACAATATTATACAAAGGAAAAGGGATGAGTGGGTGTGGACAACAGGAAGGACATTGCATATGAAAAATAGGAAGTACGAAGGAATTAAGAGCATGATGAGAGAGGCTGTGCGCGCAATTTTGATTAGCACCAATTGGAATTAATCTTGCGATGAACTTTTTTTTAATAATTTTTTTTTGTCTCATCCCCTGTCCTTTTTTCGGCTGTTGTGCTTGTCCCTCTCTCTCTCTCTACTTCATGATTTCACATCGCTCCTTCTATCTCACATTATCCCTATCTCTATACTCCTATATACTTTCTCGCCAATTCATTGTGTTCTCCTTTTTGTTTTGTTCTATCGCTAAAGGAATAAAGATTTATTAAAACGGAGTAACTTATTCAGTCGACAGGCACGATGAACCCATTAACGATGATGCACCATTTATCATTGTGTTACATAATTAGTAGGGGATTTAGGGTGACATCGTTACTGACAGGGGAGGTTCAAAACTCAATTAGGAATACCTAAAATCTTATTAGGGATGCCTAAACCCTAGAATTGAATCACTTCCCCATCACTTCCCTTCTGTGCCTGTTTCCTGACAAAAGTTAGTAGAATGATCTCGTTACGTACTCGCTAAAATAATGTAGAGAGGTGGAATGTCACCTTTCAGAGGTCATTATTAGGGATCGCTTTGTTTTGGTTAATGGTGTAATCGTTCACATGTAAGTATATAAGAGATTAATGAATGTTTGGCGTCGACGTTTTAATATCTGATATCATTACGAACTACATGTCCAATCTTTGGCTACGTACCAAGGTAGCAAACATTCTATATCAAACATCAACACCGGGTTTCAATAATAATAGACGCGACATGATCATGCTGATGTTAATCATAATTTTGCATTGTCATGGTCATCATTCCCAGTGCGTAGCCGGGAGCAGCCCCCCCCCCCCACCCCCTTGCATTGAAAAAGAAATTATCAATAAAGCTCGCAATGACATGCAATTGTTATTTTGGGTAAAAATGTCGCGGTCCTGGCTGAGAGAATTTTTGGAGGGTCAGGCGGGATTCCCGAAATTGTATATTCGTGGGTAATCTAATCTTCGGGAAATTGTCACCCTCTGCTTTCTGAAAAAACAACATCAGGGAGGTGTTTCACAAAGATCCTAAGTCGAACTTATCTCTAAGTTGGACTTAAAAGTTATGGAAAGCCATTAGCATCCTTGAAAATATTTTGTAAAATTATTTTAAAAGGCATAAAATGTTGATTCAAATCATTCGTATTTTCTATTATCATGGGAGATTTCATGTTTTTGATGCGGAATTTATGGAAAGTCTAAAATACTTGATTTTTCGCTTTTGAATATATTTTATTTCAAGGCTACAAATGGCTCTTCATAACTTTTAAGTTCATCTTAGAGTTAAGTTCGACTTAAAATCTTTGTGAAACACCCCCCTGATGATATTTCTGATAGAAAATTCAATTAGATAGTTCTTCTAATTAGAAATCGCTTAAATTTACACTACATTTCATAGTGTGAATAAAGGTTACCGCAAGATTTCGATTAATGAAAAACACAAACATATTTTATGATTTATAGAATTTCAAAACTAATACTTATCTGATTCAAGTGGCATATGATCATATGAATGTGACTGTCGGAAATCATTACATTATCAGTTTTCCATTCAGTAAAAAGGCTAAATCGGCTACGAGTCGTCAACCAGTCGTGCAACTGGTACAGACGTTCTTACGATTCGCAGACGATCGGGCCTCTTCTCCAAATGGAATGCTATAAAAACACGCAATATATTTTCTATGCCAGTTTGCGCCTGGTCATTCTGTGCACATAATATCCATATGAGGAAAATGTGATATATGGGAATACCTATTGCTAATAATCTGATTTTCATTCTAGGAGGGATCCACGCTAAAAGTGATCTTGATAGAACTTACTGTTCCTTTAAGACCAAACATTTCAGAAAACTTTAGAGAGAAACTTAGTGCGTTGAAGCACTTTGTCTGAATATATATTATATAAGCAAGTTTAGTAAAACTGCGATTTCTGACTATGGGAGCAAATGTAGATATAGAGGTTGAAAAGGTTCACCTTTATTAGTTGGAAATCGCATCAAAATGGGAAATCGCATTAAAGTAATGAAATATAGCGATTCCCCTTACAATCATAGTAATTAAGAAAGCAAATACAGAATACAAACAAAGCACAAAACAAGACGAAAACCATTATCACATTACAAGCATTAAACAGGTAACTAAAGAAACATATTAAAATACATAGTCAGCGATGGAAAAATAGAAATATAGAAGTGAGAAGCTAGTAGATATTTTGAAAGGTTTGTTTAAACTTAGATTGAAAGGCATTTTTGGAGTATATGTTTCTAAAATGAGATTCAAGATACATACCATTACAATACCTTTTATATTGATCTACCAGGAACAGGGTGGTGCACCTTTCGAGTTTAGATTGTACTTTACCCCTCATCCAAATAAATCAGTCATTGTGAGATAATTATCAGAAGCAATTCAGTCATTACACTATCGGAAGCAATTCAGTCATTAGACAACAAACTCATTTAGAAGATAGATCACTCGTCAATGTATTTAGGATGCCATTAACATGTTTGTAATGGGAAAAGGTAAATATGTGATAAATCTATGGAAGAATAGGAGTTTAACTAAATTTATGTAACGAGTGTCATTCTCCACGTTTTATCTTAATAATAAAATATCCTCTTGAAACTTAATCGTCATATGATTATGAGGTGCATATACACAGAGTGGATTGATAAGGGTTAATTGAAGGATTTAAGATAAAAGGACTTTAATGAATAAATTCCATTCTCGCAGTCTAAAGACTGAATTTGGATGGTTACGGTGAAATGTACATGATGATATTAAAACAATGATATAAAATCAGAATAACTTAGACAATGTTTATTAATAATTAAAAATAGAAATAATAATTAGTATTATCATTATTTGTTACAATAAGAATAGATTGCAAATTCACCCCGATAAATCATTGATGTTGTAAAAGCTTTCTTATATTTTGATAAAGATTTGATTTCTTAAATACCATAGTAAAAGTTATAACAAATTCATTGAAATAAAGTACGCAATAAAAATCAATTATTCAGGTACCCTTGATTTTTATAAATGGTAAATTCTTCGGCACATTTGTTTTCTATTAGGGAAGAGAAATGAAGATAATTAGAGGAGAAAGAAAAAACAAATACAT